AATGGGATGGGATGGGATGGGGGCTCAGGTCCAGTCCTCAGCTTCCAGCACATCTTCCTTCACGTCGCTTAGTCTCTGACCTTGGACATTTGTCAAGGACAGGCTCTCTCCTAGCCCCATTCCTTTTTAAATGCCAAACATGAGCCTTACCCTCCTTATCTCCCTCCGCCCCTCCTTTAAGGCAGGCTTACCATCCAGGGGCATGGATTGGCAAGCTGAGAGGTGATCCCTGCCATGCCCACCAAGGTGCTTCTGAGACCTTCATCAGCCTTGCCTTCAGGGCAGATTAGGACCTGGCAACTAGTGTTAGGGTGACATCTACTGGTCAGTTCTAGAATTGAGGGGTTCCAGCCCAAACTGGCAATGAGGATTTATAATCTAGGTTTCTCAAGGTGCAGAGGCTCTGGGAACTAAATTCTTGAGTCTTGGTTCCTCCCCAGAAGCACTGAATCGGGCCAAGGCATTTCTAACAAGTCCATGGGCGATCCGATGCTGCAAGCTCTCTGAGGGCCCCAATGGCACAGAGCCCATCTCTGCAGAGATGTAAATATTTATGGGGAGAACCAGGCGAGTGTGGCAAGGGAGCACATAGACAGGTTCCTGCTTCTGGGACTCGGGGTTCAGTAGGAAGGTCTGCTGGTGTGTGTTGCTAGTGGTGTTCCCCTAACAGGTGACGTCACAGTTCTGTCAGACAGTTCCCACCTGAGGTTTGGCAGTGTTGGTCCTGAGCTCCACAGAAGGAGTAAGTTTGGGGCCCAGTCATTGACATTTGTACTCTGTGGACCATACCCAGCCACCCAGAGCCAGGCAAAACCACTGTGGAGTGTGAGCTCTCAAGGTAGTGCTGTAGTCCCCTCGTGGCTTTCAGAAATGGCTTGTGAAGGAACAAGCAACAAGTGGTTCCCTAACACGTACAATCAAGATTAAAGGGGCCTCTGTGTGTTTGTCTAGGTTATGGGATGTCTGACTGTTGTCAAGGTTACAGGCATCTGATGAGCAGGTGTTATTAGTAGGTAGCTGCTTTGTTTGTTTACTGAAGACCCAGGAAGGCAGGTGTCCCTTTGATAACACAGACAGACAGACAGACCAGTGGCCATCACCTCTTCAAATCTCTAAGCTGTCAGACTGGCTGGCATCTACGAACAAGTCCGCCTTAGAAGCCCCTGCAGTCTCAAGTGGAATCACCACTGTGCAGGAGCTGCAATGGGGCAAAGCTTCCCATGGCCTCATGATACAGCATGGGAGCCTCAGGCAGACTCAGCCATGCTCTGGGCAGCCACTCTGTTGGCCCCTGTCTTAGAGATGCTTCTATGTCCTGGTGACCACCTTGTGGTTCCTGCTCACAGATCCCATGGTGGATAACTTTACAGTAGGAAACTCAAGGACTCAGAGGGAAGGTTGAGCAGTTTGTTTGTTTGTTTTATTTTTTCTAATTTCTCTTTATTCTTTGTGTCTTTCACATCATGCATCACCACCTGTTCATTTCCTGCCCCTTCATATCCACCCTCTGCTCTTGCAACCTCTCCCTGCAAAATAAAGTAAAATTTAAGAGAAAAAAGAAAAAAATTAATATCATGGAAGTATGCATGTGACACAATGAGTCACACGGTAAACCCTTGGTCTGAAGCCTCTGGTTTCTGCTACACTCTCGATGCTGGGCCCTCATTGGAACTCCTCTTGGTTGTGCTGCTGTTGCCCTGTGTCGTGGAGGTCCTGCAGTTTTGGGTCTGCAGGACTGGTCCCTTCCTGTGCTCCAGAAGACCAAAGATGGGGTGGATGTTGGGGTGGACTAACTCATAACTCTGGTTTTGGACCTAAGTAGTTGCAGGGTCGGTCAGCCTGCCAACTTTCCGTTGTCCTCACCACCAGAGTGCGCTATCCTGCATTGCCCTAGCTAGTTCACCCCTGGTATCATGAACAAGGAGCAGGGCAAGCTCTTCTGCTTTCAGTTTCTCAGGGTCGGCTCTCCCCCACCTTCAGGGCCAGCTCTACTGTGACTGTGCTGCTCAGGCATGGTGTAGGGGCTGTTCTCCCGAGTGCTGCAGCTGGTGAGGGGCAGGGACAGCTCTCCTGCTCTTATGACCTCAGGGTCAGTTCTCCCACCTGCCTCAGGGAGTTGATGGACAGGGGCTGGGGTGGGGGAGGGCATCTCTCCCCACCCATGCCACCACATGACAGATGAGTAATGGGGACAGCTCTTACAGGCTCATTTACTTCAGTGCTAGCTCACCCACACCTCCACCAACGGAAATGGCTTTATTGTGCTGCCCAAGAGAGCTGCAGGGTCCACTTTCCTGAGTGCTACAGCTGGTAAGGGGGAGAGTCAGCTCCTTCACTCACCACAGGTGGCAGGGTCAAGCGGGGCTAAGGGAGTGAGCATCTTTCCCTCACCCTCACCACCCATGGCAGACGAGGGGCAGGAGGGATGTGGCCAGCTATCCCACTCTGACCCTCAGGGCAACCTCACCCACTCCTCTGCCAGCAGATCAGCTCTACTGTGAGCCCAGGGACAGGATCTGCTTTCCTGAGAGCCGCAGTTGGTAAGCGGGAGGGAGAGCTCCCTTATCTGTGGTGGGTGGTGAGGGGGAGGGGTAAGAAGTCTCCCCCTGACCCACATAAGAAACAAGATACAGCGTAGAACAGTTTATATTTTTTTTAGCCTTGCAGAGTTGGGCATCAGCGTAGAGAAAAGGTAGAAACAGCTGGTGCGCTGCTGTTAGCACAAAACGGTTTTAAATCCCTAATCGCACTTTTCTACGCCCTAAATTCCTCACTGGCTGAGTTCTTCAGGGAGCCACAGTGGCCATCCTGTTGGTTCAGGACACAGAGTTCTTAGCTAATTTAAGTCCTGGGACTCAAGATTCTCCCTTTTTTTATCCGTGGACCCAGTCACATAGTAGACTGCTTGTGACTTCAATTCTAGCATGAATTGAGAGCCTAGACAAGCAGGTGACAGCTGCCAGGTAGGAAGGACAGGGGCCTAGTGCCCCCTGCTTATCTGTGAGTCTGTGGTGAGCTCTAAACATCTCATACTGAAACTGGACCAGAATGATTTGTGTCTTACAGCCTGGGGTTGCCTTCCTTTATGTATCTTCTTATGTATTCTGTTTTCAGTCCCCAGTGCTCCCACTCACTCATTCCCAGACCTCATGCTGACCTTTATGGCCTGATCTAGTCAACCTTGGCTGCAGTTCCTGCCTCTAGCGTGAGATCTGATGAAACGGACCTCACAGCAATCCCATGAAGACCACATCCCCGGAAGGACTGGGGCTCCTTGTGCAGTGTGCACTGTCCCTCCCAGCCCCTGTGCCACCTAACTCCACTCCTTCCTGTCCTTTTGGGGCTGGGGTGGGGCTTCATGTGACTTGTGTCTATTAATATACACCCCCACATCCTCTGATTGCCAGGGAGACCCAGCAGACAACTCCTAAGTTCAGCCAATAGTATTTGGATGTCCCAAATCTATATGTTAATATCTGGAGGCTTTGCAAGGTGACTGGGGTTAAATGAAATCATAAGAATAGGAGCTCTTGATGGCATTAATGGCTTTATAAGAGGAAGAGATGCAAACTTGCATGTTGCTGTCTCCGCCCACAATATTCTGCACTGTGTTTTAATGAGGCACAAGACCCTCATAGAGGCTGGTGTCACGCTCCTGAACCTGTGAGCTAAATAAACCCCTGTTTATAAATTACCAGGTATCTATTTTTTTGTTTTTGTTTTTCCGAGACAGGGTTTCTCTGTAGCTTTTGGTGTCCATCCCGGAACTAGTTCTTGTAGACCAGGCTGGCCTCGAACTCCCAGAGTATCAGGTATCTATTTTTGTTAGAGCAACGGAAAATGTACTAAAAACTCACAATGAGTGACAAGCTAAAGATGGTATCTGCTTTATCAGAAGGTCCCAAGTGAGGGTGATGACCCCTACTTCAGGACGCAGGCAGCAGGGACAAACTACACTTTGTGGCATTGGGAGCTAGGGATGATTGTTATACAGCATCACTGAGTTATCCTGACCAAAACACAGGAAGAACCAGCATCTGCTCCTAGGACGCCCCAATTCCAAAACCCGAATTACCACCATGAGACCAACACCAATGCAAAAACAAAGAAAGAGCCTTGATTCACAAGTTGATTTTGGTCCTTCTATCCATCAGAAGGCAGCAGCAGCAGCGGCAGCGGCAGCGGCATCGGCAGCGGCAGCAGCAGCAGCAGCAGCAGCGGCAGCAGCAATGACGACCACAGCAGGAACCAGGCAGGAGAGACCCAGAGCAGAGGGAAACAGGGTTTATATAGGTGCAGAGGCTGGAGGAATGCCAAGCCTCAGGACTTGTGATTGGCTGATCCCTAGTGGCGTGAGGGGGAATTCCAGACTTCCAGGTTTGGGATTGGCTGCTCTGCTTGAAGTAAGAGGGCTTTCCAGGCCTGAGGGGAATTCCCAACTGCCAGTAATTGCCTGAGACTCTGATTGGTCTGTTTTCCCTGCTCAGGGATTGGCTGGTTTCCGGCCAAGAGCAGGAATGGCTCTGTTTCTGGGACCAAACTGTGTTTCTTTTTCTGGTTCTTTCTACCTTTTTAACTCTAACTTTGGGGCCAAGGCAAATATCTTTGGTATGTCCTGAATCTAGGGACTTAGTGTGTTCTTTTGGTCCTAGTTTTAGGGTCTGGGGGCTTTTCTCTGGCTCTAGGTTTGGGGACAAAATGTTTCTTCCCCTGGCTCTGGTCCTGTTTTCAGGTTGTTTCTTTACCTGGGTTAAGGCTTGGAGCCCAGCCATTCAGGGCCTGTGTGAGGCTGCTGATAAGAGGTTTTTCTGGGGCTTGGGTCTCTCACTGCAGTGGGATTCTACAGGAGCCACCCGGATACCAGGCAGAGTCAGCCCTGTTGCACGCTTTTATTGTCTTCCAGGAGAAAGAGGGCCTTGCTGTAAGCTTGTTCTAAATGTGGTCTGCTCAGTAAGGCTCAGCCTGGGCATGATGATGTTGGTCCAGATGAAAGCCACTGGTCAGAGGTTTCTTCTACACATGACGGAAGAGCCAATTTCCCTATACTCATGACTTGTGACCCACATTTCCCTGAACAGAGGGAGAGAGCTCAAGATGGAGGCACCTACCCAGGCACCATACTTGGCATATGAAGAGGTGGCCACCTAGAGGGAGGAGAAGGAAATCCACATCAAAACACCACTCTGGACTGATCAGAACGCTATTCAGTAAACACACCTGCCCTAAGACTGACAATTTTAGTTCAGTCCCTAGGACCCGCATGGTAGAAAATGGACTCCTTCAAGGGTCCTCTGACCTCTACGAATGTGCTGTAGCATGTGTGCACATATATATGCACGCATGTGCACACATACATACATAATAAATAAGGATAAAAAACTCTTCTTGGAGCTGGTGGGTGGTGCAGTAGATAAAGACTCACCTCACCAAGTCTGTACCTTGGTTCAAATCCTGGGACCCACATACTAGGAGAAGAAAAATGACTTCCACCAGTTGTCCTCTGACCTCAACAAGCACTCTGTGATATATGCACACACAGACACAAGAAGACAGTAGGTGCAATTAAAACTTCTTGTTTAGAAACTATTCCCTTGGAGGCTAGAACAAGGGCTGAGTGGTTAAAAGCACCTGCTGCTTTTCCAAAGGACCCGGTTCGGTTTCCAGCACCCACATGGCAACCTACAAACCATCTCTAACTCCAGTTCCAGGGATCCGACACCTTTTTCTGGCCTCATACATATGGTGTACATACACACATGAAGGCAGACACTCCTACACATAAAATAAAAACAAACCTTTTAAAAAGATATTCATTGAAAAAAAATAACTGCTCTGATTGGGACCCACAATGTCCACACCTGGAAGAACTTTGTGGCAGTCATCTCTCCCCAGTGGAAAATGCAACTTTTTAATTGGGAGGTGCTGAAGTTTTGGTGGCACACCTTGTGATCCCGGCACTCAGGTGGCAGAGGCAGGAGGATCTAGAACAGGCTGGTCTACACAGCAAGTTCCAGGCCAGCCAGGACTGCACAGTGAGATCTGTTCCAGAAGAAAGACTGGGGGGAGGGACTCAGGCATGAGAACCTGAGTTCAGATCTTCAGAACCCATGTATAGAGTGGACAAGGCCTCTGTGTCCTCATGCATACACATATGAATTCATATAAAACACAAAAAGAGCCTACATGCTCTTCCTGGCTTCCTGTAGCCCCCCCCCCATCCCCTCTGGAGTATCCACTCTGATGCCACCTTCTGAGAGATGACCTGTGTTCAGCACCCCAACCCTACAGACTGCAGCCCCTCCCCATCTGTCCCTTCTGCTGTACTTGCTTAGCTTGTTGCCAGTGCCCCCCACACACAAGGAAGCAAATGCTGGGTTTTGCTATCCTCAAATGAAGAGAACAGAACCCGGGGACTCTAGAACTGCACATGGGTCAATCCCTGAGGCTGCTGGTGAGGTTAGGGCCAGTACCTTCACACAGAAGCCTGGAGAGACCAGCTTTGATATCTCTGTCTGCAGCCGGAGTCGTAGACCTGAGAAGGCACCAGTGCCACCAGACAGAATGATATGACCAAAAAGAGTCTTCCAGTGGGAGCGGTCACAGGACGTGATGCTCTGCTGGGCCTGCATGTGGATGCCCGGGTTGCTTCTCCCTGGTGGACAATGTACACGAGGGCTTTGGGATCAAAGGTTCCTGTTTTTAGTATTGTGGGGAGGGATACCTCCCAGGTTCTGGATGGCTCCAAGTGCCACTGAGCACCTCGAGGACTTCAAGCAGGTCACAAGCCTGGCCGGCCAGCATCATCATTGACAAGAGTTGACATCCCATGCCTCAGATGAGGTTGACATCACCTGTTTTGTGGGTGTCTGTAGGGCAGTGTCCCAACTCAGCCTTGGAAAGTGCCACCAAGTAACTGCTTTCACTTGTCACTTGTTGCATAAGCAAGCAACCAACACCAGCCTTGAATGACGGGTGTGGAGAACTATCACAATGGAGTGGCTCCGGTGTGCCTGGAAGAGGGCTCTGCTGCCGTCAGGAGCCTGAGGCTGCATTCCGCCCTGGGACCCACCTGGCCTCTGTGGAGTTCTTTAATGACTTCCCCACACTGGCATGCACCATGCCTTTCAGACTGTGTGCTCCACCATGCCTACAATCCCACATCTTGAGAAACCGAGGCAGGAGGGTTGCCACAAGTTTCAGACAAGCCTAGGCTACATAATGAGTTCCAGACTAGCCTGGACTACAGAGCAAAAATCTGTCTCAAAAAGCAAAAGCAGAGAAAGGCTGCTTGTGTGCACTGTATGGCGGGGAAGACAGAGCTAAGCCCTGCCGGCCACAGTGTATGCCCCGTGGGGAAGGGGCAGATGACCTTAAGTTTTATCTTAGGAAATGTTGACTTTCCATGTCGTCCCTGAACTCTCATTTTCCCTTTCCATGGAGATTTCATAGTCCATCATTTTCCCGTTTGTTGAAATAGTGACTCACTGTATAGCCCAGGCTGACTATGAACTCATGGTCATCCTCCTGCTTCTGCATCCCAGTGCTAGGTGACAGGTGTGCACCACGAGAGAGAAGGTGATTCTGAGAGTTAATACTGAAGGACCTAGAACCCCCATGGAGACAGGCATCTGGGTGTGTCTGAGGGAGTTTCTAGATTGGGTTAACTGAGGTGGAAGACCCACTCTGAATGTGGGCAGCACCATCCCATAGGCTGGGGTCCTGTGTGATATAAAGAAGGAAGAGAGCTGAGCACCAGTTTTCTCTAAGTGGAGACTGCATGTTGGTTTCCCAGACGCCCTGACCTGAATAATCACACAAAAACTATAATTACAACAGTTTGGTCAATGGCTTAGGCATATTCCTAGCTACATTCCTCTTACATCTTAAATTAACCCATTTCTATTAAACCACATGTCACCATGATGCTGTGACCTACAGGTAAGTTTCCAACATCTTTCTCCTTTGGCAGCTACATAGCGTCTCTTTGATTTCACCTACTTTCTCTCTATATCTCTGTTCAGATTTCCCATCTGGCTTTATTCTGCCCTGCCAAAGGCCAAAGCGACTTCTTGATTAACCAATGGTAATGGCATACAGAGGGGAATCCCACATCAATGTTCCTCTTTCTACATCCTGCCTGTAGATGTAGTGCGACCAGCTGCCTCATGCTCCTGATAGACAGTAACCTTGAAGTGGATGAGTCAAAATTCCTTTCTTAAAGCTGCTTTTGCCAGGAATATTTTTCATAGCAGCAAGAAAACCAACTAACACAGTAGTCAACCCAACACTTACTAAAAACCCTCTGGAGCCAGGTGGTGGTGGGGCACACTTTTAATCCCAGCACTTGGGAGGCAGAGGCAGGTGGATCTCTGTGAGTTCCAGGCCAGCCTGGTTTACAGTGTGAGTCTCAGAACAGCAAGGGCTACACAGTGAAACCCTGTGTCTAATAATAATAATAATAATAATAATAATAATAATAATAAAACAAAAACCCTCTGGCATTTAGATGCTTAAAGCTCTCATAAACTTCAGTTGCTTCTGCCTCTGCCTCCACTGCCTTCACTGTTTTATTTCACAGTGGTAAGTAGCACGCTGCTGAAGAAAGTGGTTCTCTGCTGCTCTCTGTCTCATCTGCGGTTAGGCTACACCTCTGGGTGTAGTCAAAGGGTCAGCACAGTGACAGAAGCGTAGGAGGCAGCTGAGTGAGTAGCAGCCAGGACCAGGGAAACTTTCGAGCAGGAAGCATTGCTCCTGAAGCCGAGTGTCCGCCACCACCCTCCCCACGCCTTTCTTCCCTCGGCATTCTGTGAGAGTGTCCACTGGCCCACTGCCCCCGATCCTGGACTCACCGATGAGGCTGGTGTTGAAGAGCGCCTCTGAGCACGTGAGTGCCTCCTGCTCCAGGCTGACTTCCTTGCCGTCGGGCAACTGGACTTTCTTCTGTTGGGAGGGTACTGCGTTTTTTGACATTTCCATGTCATAATCCAGTGTCACATAGCAGTGTTTCTCTTTCAGGTCTCGGATGTACTCGCGATCGGCTGCAGGGTAAGGAGGATCAAAACCCAGGGACATACATAGAAAGCACTACTCATGAGAGTGGGCATAGGAAGGTGGACCCACTCCTAGATAGCCACTTTGCCCATGCAACCCTGTGAGCAGGGTTGTGGCCAGGCTGTGGGCCAGGCTTTAAAAGGGTAGAACATGACAAAGTAAACTTCCCTTCACAGGAGACATAGAGCTGGGTCTCTTCAGCATTGCTAAAGATGCAGCCCTACCATGTATGGTGTTTGTGGGGCCTAGAAAATCCTATTCACAGTTATTACCTGGGCATTCTGGACACCCCACACACACACACCTGCTGGGCATCTGGAGGGCTGGTGATGACTGGTGAGGCCCCTTGCCTGGATGCCCCTTTCCTTCCTAGGTTTCTGGCAACAGGTTTGAACCCCAGATATGCCTTTTGATTAGGCTTTTACATGTTATCTGCCATTGTCCTTGAGCTTTGACTAAAAGGGATTTCCCTGCACTGCTTACCCAGAGACCTCACCTGGTCTTCTGCCTTCAGACTGCCAGCCGCTGCTTCCACCGGAACCACCCTCCACCTTCTCCTCCAACTCTTCCTCCATCTCCTCCTTCAAGTCCTCCATCTCCCCCATCTTCCTTCCTCTAGCTCCCCTTCTTCTTCCAACCCTCCTCCATCTTCTCCAAGTCCTCCAGCTCCTCCACCTCTCCCTCCAGCTCCTCCATGTTCTCCTCCTCTAACTCCTGCTCCAACTCTGCCTCCCCTCTTGATTTCATTCCTCCTTATTCCTTCTCCTCCCTCCTCTTCCTCTTGCTCTTTTTCCCCTCCCCCTTCCTCTCTCTTCCTTTTATTCCAATCGTCCACTTCTCCTCTCCACCTCCTCCTTCTTCCTCTTCTTCTGAAACAGAGTCTCATGTAGCCCAGGCTGTCCTCTTCTTCTGAAACAGAGTCTCATGTAGCCCAGGCTGTCCTCTAACATACTTGTAGCCGAAAATGTCCTTCAACTCCTAATCCTCCTGTCTCCACCTTACAGCACTATGATTCCACGTGTGTGCTGCCACTCCTGGCCTAACCCAGCCTCCTTGCCCATGTCTCCTCCACCCTCCTTCCAGAGCCTGTTTCTCCCCTCCAGCAAATGGTGGCTTACGCATCTTAGAGTAGTTGTTTCCTACCTGTGCTCACTAACAAGTTCCCACTGTCTGAGAGCAGCTTCAGGAGGTACATGGTCAGGTCTTGACCAGCTATGTCCAGCTTGGTAGTTGACAGTTGCGAAGGAAAGCCATTGATGACGGGCACGAAGTATGTCATCCCCTCTCCACATTCAATAGTTATTCCTACTCAAGAGAACATTAGGTTATCAGGTGGGGTACACAGCACCCCTTGTTAGTTCTGTAGGAAGGGATGGTTGGAGGGAGAAATAACAGAAGGGAAGGGGAAGGGGCCAAGGAGCTGGCATCTTCCTAAAGGACATGAACTAGAATAAGGCTGATCGGCAGGTTTGAATGGAAGCCTGTAGGGTGACTTGCTAAATGAAGCATGCAATTTTACCAATAGCTGCCAAAGAGACAAGAGAGGAAGTGTTGTCTGGGCCTGGGCGGGCACTAGGACTCTCTGGGAGGTGCCCTGTGTTGGGAAAGCCTGAATACCATGCCAGAGGTGTGTGCTTTAGTTAGCAAGGTCTCCAAGTGTGCTAGTTCAGAGAGGGTGTGACATAGTAAGGCTTACTGCATGTGACACAGTGGCTTTGGGGGCAGACTGGGCTCTAGGAATTCTTGGTTCTCTCCTTTTCCTTATTGAGCCTGGGGGCCAACAACGGAACATTTCAATTAAGCAGAGTTGTGTCCAGGGGACTTTCCCTTCCAGCTGTGACAGGGAACAGAGTTGGTCCTCTCTCGCCTGCAACAGCTGAAAATGACAGACTCTCTTCCCAAGACATCGGCCATCACGCACCCACACACCATCCCTGGGAGATGGGAGGAGAACATAGTAGGTCATTGTCGCTCATGACCACAGACACGAGACTCCAAAGTGAAATTTTGGCAAATTTATTGCAAACCACATGGGTTTTAAAAGAATTAAATGCCTTTTGTTCCACAGCTCAGAATCAATCTTAATTCATATAATTGCACCAATAGGTACCTGTTCCAGCTTCATTTTTGTTGCTTTGATAAAACACCCTGACAGAAACAGCTTAGTAGAAAAGGGGTTCATCTCAACTCATAATTCTAGGTAATAATCCACCATATGAGGAAGTTAAGGCAGCATATCCACAGTCAAAAACAGGGAAGCCAATGACTTCCTTGCTTGCTTGTGCTCAGTCCATTTCCCCTCTCATACTGCTCAGGACGTCCTGCTTAGGGAATGGCTCCACCCGCAGTGGATTGGGTCTTCCCACATCAATGAACTTAGTTAAGATAACCCCCACAGATGTGGCCACAGGCAAAGTCAATGCACACAGTCCCTCTTCCGGACTCTCTTCCCTGGCAATTCTAGGTCACAGCAAGTTATCAACTCTAACATCACTACGCACAAATTGCATTTTGACAAAATCCAGTATCGAGTCCTGATTAAAAGAAAAAATTCTCAGTAAATAAGATACAAGAGAACTTACTTAAAGTAGTGAAGAAAATATAAACCCCACAGTTGAATCAGTTTAACACTGAGGCTAATGAGCTCGCTCTAACTGGGGGAAAGACGATTTGTGTTCTCGCCACCTCCCCTCAGAACATGAGGCCTAGGCAGGCAGTAGAAAAGAATGAAACAAATTGAAAAGCAAACAAAAAAACCCATCTGGCTTGGAAATAATAAAATAAATGTTATTTGTCAAAAACGTATTTACTAGGGGCTGGCCAGACGGCTTACACAGGTTGAGGTACTTGCTACCAAGCCTCTATAAAATCTATAAAAAATGAGCTTAATTAAAGTATCAAGGTACAATATCAGTATATAAAAATCAACTGCTATCTGTGCAATATCAATGAGCAATCATAAATGAAGAGATGACCTAGTTGTCAGTGCCTGCAGTACATACATGAGGACCTGAGTTCAAATCCCCAGCATCCACATAAAGGTTGGGGATGGTGGCACATGGCACAGTCCTGATGTGGCACCACACCATCGTGGCTCAGCAAGAAGAGGAAGTGAACTGCTGAGGCCAGCCAGAGCAGAAAGAACCTCCACATACCGAATGGAGAGAAACTGCTACCTCGACCAACGGCCGCATGCTGGCTGCACAGCGCCATTCACAAAACCCAGAAAATGCAGGCGTTGTCTCAACAAGTGGGAGGGGCATAATGGCACAATGGGATCCTTGGGTGTGGTTGCGGTGGTTTGCGAGAACACACGTGTGTCAGAGTTCCTTAATGCTGTTAATTTTATTTAGTAACATCTTAGCAAATGGGTTAGGAAAAGAAAATGAGTCAGTATTCTGGAGACGTTCTGGGACACCAGGAGAAAGAAGGGAATGGTGAGAACAAGAGCTGGGTGTGTGTAAGAAATAATTCATGACAATCCATTTTCAGAATATGGTGTGTTCAGAGCTCACCAGAGGACCACGGGTAAGGATACATTAGGTCCCTGTTCCAACTGCTCTTTTTTAGTTTATCTTAAGTTGAAAAGTAATAGTCTGCCTGGTGACTGAGCTGCGTATCTGGGAGGGGGAGGGGATCTGTAGTCCCAAGAGGACAGGGATTTGGAGGAGAGGACTAGACTTTAGAGAGGAAGATTTAATTCCCTGGAGAACCAGCTTTGGGGAAACAGAGGTCAGGGGTGTTTTTGCAATCAGGGGCCACAAAACCACTGTTTGGGGACTAGAGCTAGGAACCATCAGGTAATCCACTACTGCTTGTAACTCCAGCTCCAGGAGCTATGCTTCCAATTTCTGGTGGCATGGTATACACACATACACACACACACACACACACACACACACACACACACACACACACTTAAAAAGTAATTCTGAAGAAATAAAAACAAAGGCCAGTTTTTCACCAAATCATACCTGCCATTTTGCATTTGCTCCAGGCTGATACCCAACTGTACAAGGTCAGAAAATGAACTGCCTCGCTGCTCGCGACTCTGAGTCTCCAGTGCTCTTATTAAGAAGTGAGGGTCACTGTGAGCCTTGAAGAATGTCCTTTGCTTTTTTAAACGAACATTTGCGTGTACATGTGCACACACACACACTCACGTGTATGTGTGTGTGTGTGTTTCCACATGCATGTACATATGTGGGGGTCAGAGAACAATCCTCAGGAGTCAGTTCTCTCCTTCCACCATGAGGGTCCTGGGGATTGAACTTGGGTCATTAGGTTTGGCATCTTCACCTACTGACCCATCTTGCCAGCCCCCTCCTGGGGCTGCATGTTGTGGTGCGTATCCCCAGCTTCAAGAACTAGACAGTGTGTCTGGGAAGGATGGGGATCCCACGGGGCCACTCACCAGAGGTTCTGCCAGCAGCATACATGGAGAGGACCCCTTGATTAGCCATGTACAGGGCGGGGACGTTGAAGGTTTCAAATAGGATCTGGGGAGGAAGATTGGCATGCTGGCTGGCCAGGTGGCACACACTGCCTGGGTGCTCATGAGTGCCTCTCGCAGCAATGAATCCAGGAAGGCTAACCCCGGGGTGGCCAACACCTATCTCCAGCTAACTCTGCTGTGAAGTGGCTATTCTAGTTTCATTCTGCGGCTCTTATGAAACACTCTGGCCTAAAGCAACGTAGGGGAGGAAGGGGTTTATTTGGTGAATACTTGTTGGTCATGGATCATTACTGAGGGAAGTCAATGACACATCAGGGCAGGAACCACGGAGGAACAATGCTTGCTGACTCACTCAAAGGCTTACACTCAAGCTAGCTTTTCTATACAGCCCAGGACCACCTGTAGGAACGATGTTGCCCATAGTGGGCTGGGCTCTCCTGCATCAGTTAACAATCAAGACAATCTCCCACATATATGCGCAAAGGCTAATCTGATAAAGACAATTAATTGAGACTGTATTTCAGGTGGCTCTGGGCTGTGTCAAGTTGGCAGTTTCAGACACTTTTTATAATGTATAGTGAGAAGACTGGTTGGATCAGGGCATAATGGTGAGACCCACCGGGGGTCCCACCTGGCCACTGGACAGGTGCCAGCATTGTGAAATGGTTAGTGTTAAGATGAGGTCTATGAGTTCAGAGTGTAAGCCTGCTTTGTGGTATATCTTCCTGTCACTGGGCACTGCAGTCTGCCATCCTAATGAGCTGCTCTTGGACATGCTCTTCCTGCTTGTGCCTGACTGCCAGTCAAATGTCTAGTCTGACCAAGCCCTTGCCTTGTACCAGCATCTGTACACTCCAGACACCTTGCAATAATTGTACAGAAGGTCACCGCTGATCACCTTCATGCCAGAAGGTGTGGTCCCAGAAAGGGCTCCTTGAAACTGGTTAAAGGAGCCGCTTCACTGTGAATACACCTGCAAGTATCTGTCTAGATGAGTGCTATTGAGTCAGGGGCTGAGGAGGGCAGGTGGTTTGTCCAAGGTGGAGGAAAACACAGGAGGGAATAGCCCCAGCCATGACAGCCAATCATCTGCTTTTCTGGCCAGACTAGACTTGAACCTTCATCTCTGTGTGTCTTTGTCCTGCTGGGCTCTGCAGGGAGCACACCCAAAGCTCCAGGCAGTAGAGACTGAGCTCGGTTCCCCAGCCCTGCCTTGGCACTTCTCATCGGCCTCTTGGTGCACACACACTCTCGCTCCAAGGTCTGCGATAGTTGAGGAGTGGATAGGCAGTTGGGTTGGGCCAGTCTTATCCCTCTCTTGTCCCACTCTAGCTTGCTGAAACCCTCATGGCCTTTGGATGCTTCTGGGGGGAAGCCAACTACACTCAGTCCTCAGGGGAGTCAGCTGTGGCCATTTCCATGATCTGACTGTCCACACTTGGGTGGGGGTCAGTGACCAGTTTGGGGCTTGTTTGATGTGCCCTCACACACGGGTGAACTGCTATTTCTAGGTCTAGGTGGCCTCTGAGATATGCACATCATGCCTTGGCCTTGGGCCTGCATATGGGGGTCTACTCACTGCAGGAGATCCCACTGAGCTTCAGGGATGCTAGCCAGATGCTTGGCCACCTGTTTAATTAGGTTTCCTATGTCCTCTCCAGAAGCTGAGCCTTAAGAGGAGAACTCTGGCAGCTGGGGAGGGGGACAACTTCCTGCCGCAACTGCACCTAGTCCCACTGCAGCCTGAGGAGGAGTCTGCCGTCAGTGCTTGGCTGGAGCACTCACAGACAGGGATTCACCCTTAAACTCCATCAGTCCACCACCAACTCCATCATGGCAGGAAGGACCAGGATGAGGCCAGAGGCAGGGAACTTTTAAGTCAGGACAGAACAGCAGCCTCCCTTCCTGCCTCACCTGGCCCCAGAACCCATTACCTGAGTCATTCTACATTTAATGTCTGTGCTGTTTAGCGGTGGCTCTGTTATCATTAAAGGGTGTTCCTCGGGGGCAACGCGGAGCAACTGGTAGAAGGAGTGATGCCAAATCTGCAGAGAGAGGACAGTAGGCGAGTTGTTTGCTGTCCAGAAACACACTGACTGTTATCTTTCATATATTGATCTATGTATCAGATAAATCTATTAGCTATCTAAATCATCTTTCTGTCTTCTGTTTACCAACTATTCTCTCTATAGATATCATCTACACCTATCTGTTCATCTCACTACCTGTTTATTGTCTACTATCTGTGTGTACCTTCTCTGTCTAGTCTGCATCTGCATGTGTCTGTGTCTGATGTGGGATTCCCCTCTGTATGCTATGAATATGTTTTATTGCCATTGGTTAATAAAGAAGCTGCTTTTGGTCAATGGCTTAACAGAATATAGCCAGGCTGGAAGAGAGAGAGAGAGAGAGAGAGAGAGAGAGAGAGAGAGAGAGAGAGAGAGAGAGAGTAGGTAGAGTCAGAGAGAAGTCATGTAGTCAGAAACAGACGCCAGACAGTGGATGGAACCTTACCAGTAGGCCACAACCACATGGCTATACACAGATTAGTAGATATGGATCTGGGCGTCAGGAAATGAACGAGCAGCCTCTGACTACATATGTCCATCATCAGTCTATCAATCTACATTATCTGTCATCTATCATCTATCTACCTACCAGTCATTCTATCTAACACAGTGGTTCTCAACTTTCCTAATGCTGCAACCCTTTAATATAATATCTCTCATATTGCGGTGACCACCCAACCATAAAATTACTTTGTTGATACATTATAACTGTAATTCTGTTACTATTATGAATCCTAATGTAAATATATGATAGGCAGGATATCTGAATGTGTCATGACCCACAGGTTGAGAAACACTGGCCTAACATCCATCTATCTACGCCTATCATTTATTACCTAGCTACCCTCTACCATCTCTATTATCCATCTATTTTATTCCTCCATCCTTCTGACAAACCAGTACAGTTGAGATCCAGATCTCAGATTTCAAATCTAAAGATTTAGTCAACTAAGAATCAAAACTATTTGGGGAAAAACTGGGGGCATGGACTGTACCTCAGTTGGGAGAATGTTTCCCTAGCATTCATAAGGCCCTGGGTTCCATCCCCAGCACTACTTAAACCAGGTGTGGTGGTACACACCTGAAATCCCAGCACTTAATAGGTGGAGGCAGGAGAGTCAAAAGTTCAAGGCCTCTTCAATTATGTAACAAGTTAGAAGCCATCCTCGGCTATATGAGACCCTATCTCAAAAAAAAAAAAAAAAAAGCTGTTTCTACAGACTTACTTCCTTGTCACTGTTCTTATAGTTTTGGTTGTGAGCCTAGCCATTAACAGCTGAGCCATCTCTCCAACCCTTTGTCACTTGTTCTTTAAGCAATTCAGTGCCCAGTAATTTATGTGGTGACACCGAGGTTTTGTAGCCCATCTAGAGATGACATGGAGCATATGAAAGGAAGGGCTAGTACCCTGCAAGTACTGCCACTGCACACAGAAATCCAGGGATCTGGGTATCTAAAATGCCCCTGGACCAGACCCCATAATTTCAAAGGATGGTTGAATTACAGACAGCACCATCAAAACAAGAAGCAGTGTGGTCCAGCCTCCAATGACACACCAGGCCTAAAGTTAGGGGATGGGGTTGGCAGGGGCTGGCAGGCCCAGCACTGTCTAAGGATCTCTTGGGTCTGATGAGTGACAAAACTCAGGGATGAGGTGGAAACACAGGTGACTTGACTGTCACAGAGCGAGCCCAGCAATGATGGAAGTTTGCTACATAATGTGTAACTTGTAAGCAAGTGTGAGTGTTAGTTACAGCTCTGGCGTGGCAAAGATAACCTAACTTATTGGGAAGCCAGGCTACCTAGAGCTGCAATAGGACAGCTCTGGAGGCTGGAGTCCCAATAGGACAGCTTAGCCCTGGAGGGAAAGGTGTCCTGACTTGCCAGGAAGCCAGGCCACCTGAAGTTGCTGTGCAGTGGGGGATGGTCTCCCAGCAGGATATAGCAATCCTGCTTCTCTCCTAGAGAGCCTCTACTGCTATATTCTGCTCTGTTCCCCTAAGGGAACGTCCTAGCAGAGCTATCTGCTTCTTCTTTTTTTTTTAAATATTTATTTATTTATTATGTATACAATATTATACAATATTCTGTCTGTGTATATGCCTGCAGGCCAGAAGAGGGCACAAGACCCCACTACAGATGGTTGTGAGCCACCATGTGGTTGCTGGGAATTGAACTCAGGACCTTTGGAAGAGCAGGCAATGCTCTTAACCTCTGAGCCATCTCTCCAGCCCTATCTGCTTCTTCTTCTGCCGCCCAAGATGTTACTTCTTCTGCTACACTCTGCTAAAGGCAAGCCCCTGCAGAAGTGTAGCAATTTCCTCTGGCTACAGTGAAAAGTTTTTACTTTTTCTGCCCAGCCCTGCTCAGCACCCCTAAGGGAACATATCAGCAAGGGCAGTAAGCAAAGGAAGTAGGGTTAGAATAGAAGACTAGGACTCCTGAGGTGTGACTGTGGAAGGCAAGGCAGTGGCTAGGGTGTGATGGCCCCTCCTCTAGAGGTTGTTGCTCACCTTCTCCATGTCGTCCCAGTCCATGATGGCTCCCCGGGTGATGGGGTAGTGCATGTTCAGATTTTTTAGATTATTCTGGGCCTCAGCTCCAATGAACCAGTCTTTTTCTTCCACCCCCACCAGTAGGTTCTGAAAAACACAGGTAGGACAGGACAGCCGTTGTGAGTACCAGGCTTTCATTTGCGGACATGAGCCAGCGCCATGAGGCTGCTAGAAACTGGCACCAATCACTAGTCCAGACGTCAAGGAGGCTCTTCAACCCAGCACACTTTCCAAAGGGGGCCATTTCCTGCAAGGTCCAGGGCTACTGAGGGCCACTGTGAGGACACTCACACTGCAGGTGTGGGAACTGTGCCCAGCAGAGAAAAACTGTTGGAGAGAAGGCGTAATGGCATATTCTGTACACTTGGTCTGGAAGGCCTGCAGGAAAAGGACCTGCAGCATGAGCTGCCCCCTGGGGTTCAGGAAGGCGGCCTACTTTCAAGGTGGATTGAACTTCCAGTGCTGTCAGAGGAGCTGGAACATCTACCTCAGTCCACCAAGAAAACAGACATTAGAATTAGAGCCGTGAAGATTTATCAGGGAACTTGCCTGGTTGGATGAGAAGGGTCAGGGTGAGCAAGGGCAAAGACTGACAAGCCATCAAGCTAGGCTCACTTCTGAGTCGGGGCACAGGAAAGAAGAAAAGGGAAGGTGGGTATTTCGGTGTACCGGGAAGGCTGGCTCAGTGAGGTCACGGAGGAATCCCGAGCCACACTTACTCATCAGAGGAGTCCAGGGTCTCCAGGATAAGCTCATGCTTAAGCTAGATTGGAGCAATGTGCATGAGGCAGTAGTGCAACAGGGAAGAGGGACGAGTGGGTTGGGGAATATGGTACAAGTGTGACAGCATAGTCATAGACCTGGGCACTGTCGCAAGGCTGACATGCTGCAATGCCACGTGGGTGCATGGTGTCATCTGCTATCATGCAGCTATGTGGTGATACGACCCTGCAGTGCCATAGTGGTGCATGACACATGATACAAGGGTACCTTGCTGCAGTGGAGCAGCAGAGATGCTATAGGGCTACACAAGTGCATCGTGCAGCTATGCAACTGTGCGGCCATACCATGCAGGTATATAACTCACACGCTACATAGGTCTGAGTAACAACGAACATGAAGGCTCGGGACTCTCCAAAGTCCCAGGCATCCACTGGGGTTTTCAGAACACACACACAAATGAGAGGCTCAACTGCACTGTGAATGTGCCTCCCCTCCCCCAGGGACTGTGGGATGACTCCAGGCACAACCCACATCAAGACCTGCCACTGCAAAGGGACACTGCACTTCAGAGGACAGATGGTGGCTATCAGAATGACAGAGGAGGGATCTACTGTGGGGAGGGGTGTTGCCAATCAAGCTCAGAGGAGGGGCTCCTGAAGTGGGAGGAAAAGGCTGCCAGCGGCCTCAGTTGGAACTAGAGATACTAGAGACAAAGAAAAGCTTTACCCTGAGGCAGCTGCCCATTAGGAAGGGTGTGGAAGAGTCTACAACAGGAAAGGAAGCTGCTTGTTCAAGTCCTCTAATCTGTCCCTAAGGCCACCTTCTTGAGACATCTAACACAAAGCAGTCAGTATGGAAACCAGGGCATTGGGATCTATGACCGTCACCGTAACCAGAGCAGCACAAGAGGCTGGAGGATGAAGCCAGGGTGTCACTCACGTTATGTTTCAGTTTCCCGAGGAAGGTGGGAAAGACAGCCATAGGGCCCTCGGCTCCTGCAAAGCCCACCTTGCTGATGCCAGAACCATAGTCACAGACGAGGGGTGTTTGGTCCATCATGCTGTGGTGACCTGGACACGCCTGCAGGGAGAGACTACATTATCCCTTGTCCCCACAGGTACTGTGCCAACAGCGAGACATGGGCTTCATGTGCCTAGAACAAGGTCGGCCTGAGCAGGAACCTCTCTGCAGGTGCTGTGGTAATTTGGGCACAGAGAGCTGTAACCAGCTGTGCACAGTCACCTGCAGGCCAGCAGCCTGGAGCCAGCTTGGATGCTCCCTCCAAACAAATGAAGCATTCACAGAAAACTGTGCTTGGAGTGCTTAGGGCACAAATCAGTCACAAGAAAACCCAGGCCTGTCTGAATGTGAACCTCTGGGTGGGTCCTGCCCGGTTTGTTCTAGTTTCGACACTAAAGAGTCATCTCTAAAACCTCTATTGTGGACAAACTGGGACAGAGCCTGTGATCTGGACAAGGCCAGGCCTCCCTAAGCAGAGCACCGTGCATATGGGTGGGGATGGGGCAACTGGCTTCCTTCCAGCATGAAAGGATACCACAGGAGTTGCTGGGCTGCAAAGCCAGGAAGGCTCAGGGCTCTGAAGCTGTATATGGGGGAATGTTAACAGAGATTTTATCGCAAAAGCCCAGGCCCTGGAAGCATCAAGAAGCTGGGCTCAGCCGCTTGTCTCCAGAACATCATTGTGAAAAGCAGAGAAAGATTTATCCAATGCGGCCATATTGAGAAGAGAAACAAAGTGACCCAATTGCCCCCAAGTCCCTCTTCTGAGGCCCAGATATGAGGTTCAGAGTTAAACAGAGGGCAGAAGGGGTGCATTCCTAAGCAGTCCTGGACACTGACCCATCACTGTCAGCTCCAGGATCTCCTGCAAGGCAGTCTGACAAGTTCTCAGAACTCTGAGATCTCTCTGGGAGACAGGCTACCCCTCTGGCTGGCACCAGGCTTCAGCCTTTCCCTTTCCCAGCTTGAGACTCCTGGGAAAATTCCAATGCCTTGGGGTCCATTGTTTCAGGAGTCTCACAGCACAACAGATTCTAAAATATTTCCTCCTGAAGAGATTTCTCAGCAATTAAGAGGCCCCAAGCACCTGCACTGACAGCTCACAACCACCTGTAACTCCATGGGCTCTGGTGCCCTCTTCTGGTCTCCACGGGTATCTACATGCATGTGGTACACATAAATTCATACAGGTGCACATACACACAAATAAAAATAACCTTTAAAATAACTTCTCCCCTATCCTGAAGGCTACAACTGGTCAAGGAATGAGGCTTCATTCCCATGTGTGTAATTCCCACCTCACCCTGAACTCCAGGAGCAAGAGGGCCCACAGGAGCATCTTGGTCAGCACTGCTGGGCCTCGCACAGAATCAAGCCATCTGTGCTTGAGGAAGATGCACACTGGGTCAGTGTCTCCGTCCCCACAATAGCTGCACAGCTCTTCTCCTCTCAGACACCGGGCCACCCACTGAGACACTGAGGGTCTCTAGCTCAGATTCTCACATAGGGGAGTAAAAGTTACAACAACAGGGGTCTGGAGGGATATCACAGCTACCCTTCTCCTGCCTTTATTTGGAAATCAGAGAAACAGCAGGCTCCCACCGTGGAAACTCCCTCTTCCTCAGAGAGCTGTAATAGCAGTGCTACCTGTAGGTCTTGATTTATCGCTCTCTTTAGAGCACGCTGCTCTGTCTGCTCACATCCTTAACGACTCTTCCAATGAATTCCTTACCCTTCGATCCAGTTCAGTGCTTCCTGTGAGCCCACATCTGAGACTGTCCAGTCATTTGCTTACCCCCTTCTAGAGGCCCTGCCACGCTGCTGGGGGTAGCTGTATTTCATTTTTCACCTTCCGATAGTATCTGTGCTCCACCGTGTAGATACAAGGACAGCTCAAAGACACTAGGTTCCTCTCAAAGATATAACAGTAAATCAGAGAAAAGACAGTAATTGACACTTTACGATTTTACGGGGCTTTAGTGAACCTTTCTTTTTGCTGGTGGGGATCCTGCCTCTGGGCTGACAGTGAAAACTGAGCAGGTAGCTGCTGCTGGAGGTTGGAGGTGGCAATTTCTGAAAAATAAAGACAGACCCCACATTGCCCAGTTCTTACTTCCATCAACAATCTCTCCCTAGTGTGTGGTGCCGTGTGATTGCATCTTACCAAAAGCAGAACATGGGCTCACTCTATAGCCCAGGCTAGACTCAAACTAAGAGCAATCCTGACTCTGCCTCCTCCTGAGTGCAGGTGTGAGCCTCTATACCTGGCTAGAATCTCTTTTAAAATTCCCATGTACACCTGTGAAGCCACTGGTCTCAACAGTAGGCTGACAAGACTCAGGAGAGCATTCACAGGGCAACTGCCCCAGGCCGCCTTCTCCTCTTACAAGCACAGTCAGCATCATATTCCAGGCATTGGGAGTCTTCTAAAAGAAAGACTACAGTATCTGCTCCCACACAACTGCCACCAGCTGCGTCTGCCCTCCCTGGAGAGGTAGAGTGGACTTCAAAGCCTCTCCATGGTGAACTGAAGTTCCCGGGACAGGGGGAGAGGAAAAACAAAAAGCCCACACTTGTGGTCAAGATTACACAACACTGACTGTGTTTCTCCACATTCCAAATGCTGTGACCCTTTAATACAGTTCTTCATGTGGTGACCCCCAACCATAAAATTATTTTCATTGCTACTTCATCACTGTAATTTTGCTAATGTTATGAATCGTAACCTAAATATCTATGTAGGCAATCTGATGTGTGGGCCCTGTGGGGTCATGACCTACAGGCTGAGAACCCCTGGAGCAGAACTTCATGACTGTGGCAATTTGAAATGCTACAGACTCAAGAGCCAAATTATACTGGGCTATTGTGAGTCCCATAAATAGTCATTAATAGAATAGCCATTAATGTCTGGCCTAACTTCCTCGTGACTACAGAGTGAAGGAAACCTTTTGAAATACACTAACTTAGCAGACTACCACCTCCACCAACCCCCAAATTAGAATGCCTTCAGGCAGCATCCAAGGCCTAGAGCAGAGACTTCTCCACACTCCATGGCAGAGTCCTTTGCCCAAGGTCCCCACTCCTGGCAGAATGAGCCAGTGAGACCCCATGTCAGGAGTTAGAAGTTCCTGTCAGCCTGGGAGGAGGCTTGACTTGGTTTTCAACCATTCGCCCATTTCAAATAAACGTTTGTGGCGAGGCAAGGCAACTCATGCCTTTAACACCAGCACCAAGAAGGTAGAGGCAAGGAGATCTGAGTTCAAGCCCAGCCTGGGCTACATAGTGAGTTCCAGGTCATCCATGCCTATACAGAGAGACCCTATCCTAAGAACAAACAAATGAATAAAGCCAAAAAACAAAACAAAACAAAACCAAAAACAACTCCTGTTTCTGGTCAGGAGGAGTTTTGCGTATGTCACAATCTGCTCAGGCCAGAGCCACAGGGCTTCCTGCTTTCTGACAAGAAACAAAGTCACAGGGATGATCTGGTTCCATTTCCACCTAGAAAGAAATCTTTCTTTTCCCAGAGCAGAATGAGGCAAGTAGACAACACAAAACCAGTGGCTTTTGCTCAGAAGAATCCAGAAACTCGTCAGACCTGGTTCAGGATTCTGGAAACAGCGGGCTGGAGGCTAGGGTCTCTTCAAGGTCTGCTTGTTTCCTGGGGATAGCCTGGGCATTTGTGGCCGATCCCAAGTGTGTTTATTCAGGATCGGCTGATCTTGCTTCGGAACATGTCCCTTTCCTAATAAAAAGAAAAAAGATTCCAAGATGCTTAAGAAATAGAGACATCCAAGCCATACCTGAGAGCCTGACACAGTGACGTAGCCATGAAGCACAACCTGCCCTCCATCGGAGAGAGGCCCCCTCCCATGAATTTAGTAGAAAATGGAACTTACTGCAAGACCACAGATCTTCCCCCCCTCCACCCTCCTTCCTGAAAGGACAAGGTCCCTGGGTGTTGTAGTCCTTTCCTTGTTGCTGGGACATTTGGACATTGTGACCCAGCTGTGACCTCAGGGCCTCACCCAGGAGGGGACACCAGCCACTGCTTGAAATGACCTTGCAAGAGAAGCTTCACGGTTTTACACACCCATTCCCCACTGTCCGAGTTCATTCTTGTTTTGGAGTTGTGTGGCCCTCTAGATGTCTGTCTTGCTATAGGGCCTCAGAATAAATAAACCAAGGTATCCATCTGTGATGACAAGGGATCCAAAAGTCAGAGAGAGACCTGAACTCCTGTAGAGGCGCTGCCCTCCGCCCTGGCCCCAGGTTGATGATCCAGGGCATGACGGGAGATCAAAAGGGATACCCTGCTTACAGGGGTAAAGGAGGAACCCAGGGCTTTGGACAGGTCCAAGGCAATGTCAGGGAAAGAATCTGGTACATTTGTCATGTGGGGGTGCATCCCAGTATCTCGTCTGGAACCACAGTACAGAGTCCATATTCTACACACAGCATTGCCCAGCATGCTGAAGTTCTGGGTTCTACCACCAGTACCACATACCCCAGCATGGTGGTGAGTACCTGTACCCTCATTCCAGTACTTGGAAGGTGGAGGCAGGAGCTACATAGCAAATTAGAGAGCAGCCTGGGTTATGTGATGCCCTGTCTCACAAAATTACAAAAATGATGAGAACTGGGACTCGAAACTGAGCTTCCTCAGGGGCCCTTTGGTGTTGCTTTGACAAGTCAGGACATGGACACTAGGGGCCACAATGGATTAGCTTTGGGGTCCAGAGACTTTATTCATGTTTAACTGGACCTGAGGTGGCTCAAGTCACTTTGGAAAACACCATTATTTCTTACAGTCCCATATGACAAAGCCTGCAGTGCCTCCTGTCCACGGTTCCAGTTGAAAGAAGCCATAGACACACAGCCAAGACATCTTGGCTGAGTAGACACCGTTGCTAGATAACCAGAAGCCAAAGCGTAGAAACAGATTGGGACAAATGGAAGGTTTCCCAACAGAACTTTCCAGACTCTGGTTCACGAGTCCCAGAGCCATTGCTAGAAGGATGGGTTATGTCTCACCTCCCCCTGCCTTTGAATCGCCCTCCAGGGTAGCAGACCAAACCCACCCACGATAACCTCACCATGTATCAAATCATCTCTGAGGTGTGGGAGCCCAGAAACACTGAGCTGGATAGCTCCAGCCTGAGCTGTCTTGTGAGGTTATGGAAGGCGGCCCTTGGAGGCTGCCATCTCATCTGAAAACTCAGCAGGGCCAGGGAACCTGCCTCCAAGGCAGTGTTTGGCACATTGGTGTGGCTGTGGGTGGGAGGTCACTGCTCATCTGCTTAGTGTCCTTGGGATATGGTGGTGGCTCCAAGGCCACAGGCTGAAGTATCATGATCTCCATGCAGATCTGAAAGATGGGCTTCCGTTTGGTGTTACTGAGGTCTACTGATTACAGGGGTCAGTGCTATTCTCTGGGGTGGGGGGAACCCTTCGGATCACAGGGTTGCCTCCAAGTGGGTCTTGAGGTGCCATCTTGGAGACTGCTGCAGAAGAGTCCAGAGCAAGGAGACTTAGGAAGGCCTACCGAGAGGAGAGGCTTGCCATCAGGACCGGAGTTCTAGGAACTGCAATCTGGTTACCCTCCACTGCCTGAGAGAGTAGGATGGATATCAGGGCCTCCCACTTTCTCAAAGTTCCTTCCTGGCTGACTCCTGGCCTAGCAGGGCCCTGGGAGAATTTTCAGCCAAGGTACTGGAGCCAGACAGCATGGTTGCAAAACAGAACTATGGCAAGAACAGCTGATGCAGGGGAGTTGGAAGGCATCAGACAGATGATCTCAGTGCCATAGATGTGGCATCTGTGACCTCTGGCTCACACCTGCCTGTCTGCCAGTCTGCTAGGGAAGGCAGAGGTCTGGGCCTCTCAGAAAACAAAATTACTCAAGACAAAGCCAGGAGCAAGACAGCTTTCCGATAACAAACACCTGTGGTTTGTGGAGGCTGAGGGAAACTGGATGGAAGCTGCCATCCCTGAGCCTCTAAGGGCAGGAACAAGGGGCCTCTGTATATGGCTTAAATCACCCTTTTTTCATGTGTGTGTGGAGGGGGCGACAAGCTCAGGTATTGATCCTCACCTTCACCTTGTTTGAGACAGGGTTCCCTACTGTCTGTCCACATGCTTCTGGCTCCCATTTTGACATGAACCTAGGATTATAAATGTTCAAATCAGCTTTTTGTGGATGAGGATTCAGGTCCTCAAGTTTACACAGCAAGCAGTTTGCCCACTGAACCTGGAGTTCGCCAGTTCAGCTAGGCTGGCCCGCCAGGGAGCCCCAGCACCCACTCGTCGTCTCTCGTCTCCCCAATGGATTACCAGCTCACATCACCACACTCAGCTTTTTTAGGAGGGTTCTGAAAACCAAACTCAGTCCTCATGGTTGAATAACGAGCACTTTACCTACTGAGCCATCTCCCCAACCCTTAAATGCAATTCTTTTTTTTTTAAATATTTATTTATTATGTATACAATATTCAATCTGTGTGTGTTTGCAGACCAGAAGAGGACAGCAGACCTCGTTACAGATGGTTGTAAGCCACCATGTGGTTGCCGGGAATTGAACTCATGACCTTTGGAAGAGTAGGCAATGCTCTTAACCACTGAGCCATCTCTCCAGCCCTTAAATGCAATTCTTTTAAAAATATTTTAGACCAGGGGCTGACGAAATAGCTCAGTGGTTAAGAGCACCGGTCCCTCTTTCAGAGGGCTGGAGCTCAGTTCCTAGCACCCATGTGGCAGCTCACAACCGTCTCCAGTTACAGTGAATCCAGTTCCCTCTTCTGGCCTCTGGGCACCATCTACTCTGCTCTTACGTACCGTGGCAGTTTGAATGTAATTGGCCCCCATAATCTCATAGGGAGTGGCACCATTAGGCAGTGAGGCTTTGGTGGAATAGGTATAATCTTGCTGGAGGAAGTGTGTCACTGGGGGGCAGGCTCTGAAGTTTCATGTGCTCAGGATACTGCCCAGTGTCTCAGTTGACTTCCTGTTTTCCACAAGATGTTGGCACTCTCAGCTCCAGTGCGTCTGCCTGCATGCCACCCTGCTCTCCAGCATGATAAAGGACTGAACCTCCGAAACTGTGAACCACCCAAATTAAATGTTTTCTTTATAAGAGTTGCTGTGTCTCTTCACAGCAATAAAAATCCTAAGACACATTATGTACTGGCAAAACACTCATAAAATAAAAATAATAAACCTAAAAAAAAACCATTTAAAAGCATTTCTAATCCAGAAGCTAGGCAAGCATGAGAGTATACATCTGTGATTCCGTGGACTCGGCCCCAGGTCTCCGGGCCCATCCCTTGCAGTGGGGTTGGAATGAAGACACCTACCATTAAACCTGGTCTCAGCTACCAGCCAGGAACGTTTTTCAGGACAAGCTGCTTCAATCCCCTCATCCCATAGACTCATTTGAGTAACCCAATGTTGTCACAGGTCTGTGTAACCAGAGTGCTCCCAGGAACATGGTGTGTTACTCTGCTGTGAAACTGTGTTCTGAGGGTCTGTTGGAAAACAAGTCTGGAGGTGTCTTCACCCCGTCACTGGAGACAACAGGGTAGATCCTGCTTTTATCTCAAGGGACACAGGACAAATGACCACCCCAGCCACTGTGATCATGCTCATGGTTTCTAACACTCAATGTGTCTGGGTCTGTCGGATGCCTGATGGGGTGTGAGGAGACTGTCAGGTGGTTCCGCCCAGAGCACAGTTCAGCTGGTCTCACATTGCAAATACCACGAAAAACCTGGTTTGAGGCCCTACTGAGAACTGTAGCTAAGCAGTGGCAAAGGCTGACATGGTTTAGGTCCTGGGCTCTGTGGCTTACTTGTTTTCATTTCAGAGAGCAAAATGTGGGCTTCATCTGCCGATAGCAGGGTAGGCAGGACAGATAGGCCCACAGTGGACAGTGCTCTGGGAACAGCAGCCCACAGCCCAACAGTCTTCAAGTACAAGATGTGAAGGCACCACACACCAAAGCCCCAAACCACAGCTGGGCTCCCAGGCTAAAACAAACTAGAATCATAGTCAACTGACAAGCACTACCGACATTCGAACTCAGGCCTCCTGCCATATGAGCTTGAAACCTTTCTCCAGCAATAAGGAAGACTGAACTCTGACTTTTAGCCCACACAAATGAGGATGTTGAGGCCATGGAAGGGTGGGTTACCTACTCAAGGCTTTAAAGCCTTCAGAAGGCAGAGCCAGAGTTCCCATAAGTAGTGGGACCTGGTATCTAAGTTTACAGCCACCACACCCCAGCCTCCAGTTAGGACTTTGTTCAAGGGACAAATGAAAGTGCCAATGTGTGGCCAATAGAGATGCCTGAAACCCCTGTGTCCACATTCTCAGACAGGCCAGGAGAGCACCAAGTTAGGCTGGTGGACTCTCCGGCTCTCTCTCCAGGAACAGCTGCCAATGTTTAACCAGCTCTAACCAGAAGCAGATCAATTGTGCCCAGGCTGTGGGCACTACTCACCTCTGCTTCTCCAGAAACAAAAGTGAGGGCTCCACTTGTTTGGAGCAGGTAACCATGCTAGCATCCTGTCACTGGCAAATGGAATGGATTCCTCACCCCAACAAGTAAATGATCTGGCAAAGTTCTGGAATGATGAGGGATTATTACAGAGTATTGGGGCACAGTTCACCCCAATGTCAATGAAGTTTTGATAGTGCCCTATGCACCAGCTCTAATACTTCCTGGGGTTCCATCCTATACCATATAACACCCCTACCCCCACCCCTGAACTGGTCAGGCCCATTCAGGAGACAGCACAATGTGACACATTTAAAAGGTAGATTTAATACAAAGACTTATCCGCAAGGTGAAGAGGATCCTAACTAGTTTTACAGAATGCCCTGAGTTTTAGGGGCCAATTGTCCCAAATGAGAATGGGTGCCCTTCCCAACACTGGAACTCCTGTTGGGGAAGGTGTGGCTGAGGCCACTGGCTGGTGATACATTCTGGGTTGTCTAATCCAAATCTGTTTACCCATGAACAAGCGTCTTGGGGTGAACAGAAGCACCTTCTAGAAGAGGGCAGGGGGCTGAGCTGCTAGGTGGGTGGGTACTCAGGGAGTCCTGTACTAGAAACCCTGTCCTTTTTTTAAAATATTTTTAAGTGTTTATTTATTTATTTATTTATTATGTATACAATATTCTATCTGTGTGTATGCCTGCAGGCCAGAAGAAGGCACCAGACCCCATTGCAGATGGTTGTGAGCCACCATGTGGTTGCTGGGAATTGAACACAGGACCTTTGGAAGAGCAGACAATGCTCTTAACCTCTGAGCCATCTCTCCAGCCCTAGAAACCCTGTCTTATGTCACAAAGACTTTAACAGATTAGCCAGGATGCCCACTGTGAAGTGGGCAGTACCCCTGGATACCCCGTTCCACTGCCTGGCATTCCTGGGGTTAAGAATCAGAAACAAGAACCCAAACAGAAAGCCTTCCTCCTACAATGGCCTCTGAGCCCTCTGCTAATCAAGACTACACACGCCTACAGACAAAAATGGTTCAGGGGCCCAGCCCAGCATGGCAGAACAGAAGGGGAAGGTGGCATTATCAAAAATCTTTAGATCCCACATTGTCTGCAGTTTAATAGGTTGGCCCAATCCTAGGACACACATGGTAAGCCTAAACCATCTGGGCAGCATAGATTGCGGGCACCCAACATAAAGACAGACATGAAAGGGCCACGATAGTCTGCCCTCAGGATGCTGAGTAGAGAAAACAGCCTGCTGGGGGATCAGTGTGAAACTCCACTTCCCAGCTGCCACCAGCCAGACACTGCTGGGCACCAGGCTCTCCATTCTCCAGATGAGCAAACTGATGCCCCTGCAGGGGAAGCCAGGATGCCAGCCCCCATGCATCCAACTCCACACACTCAATAAAACTTCCCTATGCATCCCAGGATGGTCCTCAAAAGATTCCAGGCAGCAGGCGGTAGGGCACTGCGGCCGTGTAGCGCTCCCAGTCACGGCCATACTTGTTGGCACAGCGGTGTTCATCACGGAGGCAGCGGTGGGTGAGCAAGATAGTCATGTAGATGATGTAGAAGTAGGGGAGAAGGTGGCCGCCACCGCACGCCAGGCAGTAGGCTAGGCTGCCCATCAGGTCACCAGTATAGTTGAAGTGACGGGCCACACCCCAGAAGCCTGACACCAACAGCTTGGTGCGGTGTTTCTGCCCATCGGCTGATGTGTAGGAGCACTCGATGGCCTTTGGCTTCTTGCCCCAGATGAGGCAGCGCCCATCTGTCCTGCGGAACAGGTCCTTCTGATGGTTGGTCATTCGGAAGATATAGTAACCCACCAGGCCAAGCAGCAGGATGCCCACAGCATTGGGAGTGGAGAGATGAACAGGGTGGTACACCAAGTACAGGCCCTGTGGGGAGAGAGGGTAAGAGGGGAGAAGTGAAGGATAGCCCACCATGGAGCGCAGTGGGCTTCAGTATGGCCTGAGGAGGGTAGACCCTGGCCCTGCTCCAGACACATGTTTCTTTTCTGTTAAGTAAGACACACAGAGCCAGGCATAGTGGCACACACCTGGAATCCCAGGACTCAGGGGGATGAGGCAGGAGGGCCGCAGTTCAAGACCTGCTTGGACGGTTTACTGAAACAGCATCAGACTTGTTTCAAAATGAGTAAGAAGGGAGGGCAGAAGATGTGGCAGTTGCTTAGCATGCACAAGGTCCAGGGTTCAACTCCAAGGACTGGCAAGCAGAGGGAGACAGGGGAGGGAAACAGCCAGCCTCCAGACACCCTTCCTGGTTACAGGGTGTACTGTTTTCTCATGGTTCTGCAGTTGCTGCATTCTGTGCCATGAAGACAACCGTGTTTGTATCATCATAAGGGCTAAAAGCTGTCTTGGGATCACCATTGGTTGGAGTTGGTAAACCACATACTGTACAAAAGTAAACTACACAACATGGAAGATGATCTGAATATACTGCGACGACAATTGATTCTATTTATCTGCTTGGGCAGACCACTGTACACATATCTGATCAACCCTAAATTGTGGAGGAGACTAACATTTACTTGTTTATTGTACGTGCATGCATATGTACCTGAGCACACACGACGCAACCAGACAGAAGAAAGCGTCTGGTGTCCTTTGTCACACTCCACCTTCTCCTTTGAGGCTGGGTCTCTCCCTGAACCTGGGGCTCAAGTTTCCTTGGCTAGGCTAGGGGCTAAAAAGGCTCAGTCATCCTTTTGTCTCTGCTCTATGGTTACAGGCATGAACAGAACTCCAGTTTGTTCTCTGGGTGCTGGGATCTGAACTCGGGTCCTCCTGATGTCGCAGTACACACTCTTAAGCCCTGAGGTTCTTTCTCCGGCTGAGATTAACATTTAAACAAGCACTGAGCAAAGCAGATGAACACCCACAATGTGGGGGGACTTCATTCAATACATTCAAACCAGCCCCCCTTGGGAAAGGGGGGTGCTTCCAGTATGCAATCTTTTATTTTGAACTGCAACAACAGCCCTCTCCTGGCTTCCAGACCCCCACTGAAAAGTTTGGGGCCTCCCAGGACCCATGTTCCTCAAGAGACCCCAGACACAAATACAGAATAAGAGTACATCTATATATACACATCTCAAAGCCATATGCCTATGCCCCAGAACACAAAGGCCGGGTTCCAGTATGCCCCCATGGACACCCAAACTCCATGGTGCTCAATCCCTTCATATGAGACAGGTATATAGACAGATGTGGTGTCCCAGTACTCAGGCTGAGGCAGGAGGATTGTAGCTCAAGGCCAGCTTCACTTCATGGTGAGTCCAGGCAGCTTTGGCTGCAGGGCAGGCAAGACTACCTCAAAGTAACAAAAACAGGTCTGGGGAGATGGTTCGGCAGTTACAAAGGACCAGATTTGGTTCCCATCATGCATATGAGGCAGCTTACAACTGCCTGGAACTCCAATGCCAGAGGTTCTAGCGCCCCTGGATTCTGGGAGCATAAACAAACACATTGACAATGAAAAAGAAATCTAAGATAACAAAAGAACAAGGGACAATGTAGTATTGGTCTACACTACACAGGTTTGTGCACATCTTCCTATAAATGTGAAGTCACCTCTAGATTAACCTCATTATCTACAATATACTAAATAACAGAAATGTGGAACTGCTTAGGGGAAGCCTATTAAAACGTAAATGCTGGCCAGGTGGTGGCAGAGCAGGAACACGCCTTTAATCCCAGCACTGGGAGGCAGAGACAGGAGGACCTCTGTGAGTTCAAGATCAACCTGGGCTACAGAGCGAGTTACAGAACAGCCAAGGCTACACAGAGAAACCCTGCCTTGAAAACAAAATGTAAAGGCTCAGCAAACGATTGTTGGACCACACTATTTAGGGACTACTGACACAGAAAAATTCCATGTTCCTTCAGCACACAGTTTTTTTGTTTGTTTTGATATAGTCTCATGTAGCCCAAGCTGGCCTTGAGCTCATTACGTAGCTGAGGGTGACTCTCTGAACTCCTGATCCTCCTACCTCAACCTCCCAAGAGCCGGGATCACATGGGTGTCCAAGAAGGCCCAGCAGCAAATTTTTAAAAAAATTCTTCCAATGCATGTTTGTCTTAATCTATGGACGCCACTGTATCCTGAGGCTGAAACAAGGCCTGCTAGATGGAAAGACTTGTGTAAGCGCAGTCTCTGCCACCAGTTCACACACTGGCACTGCAGATACAAGGGGGTGACCTGTGAGCAGGTGCCCAATCAGTGGAAACCCTGACCACGTGAGCTGCTCATGGCTGGTGAGGACCTGCAGTCAGTGTAAGTCTGAGGCTGGCACCTGTCCACGCCCTTACCCTCCACCCCTCCCCTTTGTTGGGCACAACTGCTTTCCCAACACCCCTGCACAGGTAGCCAGGCCACTTCCACAGCCCATGTCACCATCAGCTCCGCGACCAGCTGCCAGAGGCCCACCTCACTGATGGCCGCCTGGAAAGACCAACAACAGCCTTCTGTGCTGCTCTGAACTCCTTCCGACCTCTGATGAGCAGTTGCATGCACTAGTACCACGGTGCCAACATAGCCAAAGGGCGGGGATTAAGACATCCAGCCCAGCTAGAGCCACTGCCGGCCACCCTGACGGCTCCATCTTGTCTGGTTGAGTTGGGAGTTCTGCCGCAACTGCAGGGATGACTAAGGACATGCTCACATGGGTGCAATCCCAGGTCATCCCAGGCCAACTACAGGTGGCTACAATGGATCAGCCTAAGATGCTTCAAAAGCCATTCCACACCCTCTACTGCTCAATTTCTGTATGGTTCTCAGCAGTTCTCCAAGCCTTAAGTGGGCTAACTTTGTCCAGCTGTGACCCTGTGTGCATTAAGGAAGGCAAGGCTAAGCTACAGTTGGTAGGTCAGGTGTGTTAAACACACTTTAAAAAAAATGTACTGTGTTCTTGAAACACCACTGAGTACTTTTTTTCTAAGATTTATTTACTCATATATTTTATGTATGAGTGTTCTGTCTTCGTGCACACCAGAATCTGATCCCATTACAGATGGTTGGAGCCACCACGTGGTTGCTGAGAATTGAACTCAGGATCTCTGGAAGAGCAGTCAAATGCTCTTAACCTCTGAGCCATCTCTCCAGCCCCCTCAGCGCACTTTGTACTTTTGATACTTCTAGTGGAGAGTGGGTGAAGTGGGAACCAGATCCCACGATGGGTCAAGCATATCTGTGACACGAGGAACTTCCCCCTCATGGGAGACGACAGGGACTAACACCCTGGCAAGCTCAGCATGTGTGTCTGCTCAGGGTCAGCCAGGAGCAACTGAAGACCACACAGGCAGTGCCCACGAGGCTGGTCGCCCTGCCCCATCACCCGGGCTCCTCACCTGCAGCGTGTAGAGGTAGGGCAGCCATACGCAGTCACCCCAGCCCAGGTACCACCCAAAGTGGTCATGGCAGATGTCGATGGTCTTCAGATACCAGGTTTCGTTCCAGAAGAAGTCTAACACGTAGATGGCCTGCGAGACAGAGCCACCACTGTTACCACCACAGCCCCATGCAAGGGAGGGATGGGGGATGGGCAGTCGGGATACTGCTAAGCAGCTTGGTTACTGTGGGGTTGGGAGCAATCAGTGGGGTGGAGGGGCCACTGCCCATCAGCAGAAAGGGCTCCCACCCATAGCTCCCATAGGTGACATGAGATGTGGAGTTCAGCAGAGGTGACTCAGGATAGAAGGACTCAGGGACTGTCCCTGAATGGTAGACACCAACAAAGACATCCACAGGGTGAGTGTCCCAGGTTTGGTTGCTATCCGCTGCCCCTCAGAACCATGACACCCCCAATGTGTCCAAGGAGACTGAGGTCCATTCACAGAGATAGGCAAACAGCAAAGATCCTGCTTGCCACTCAAGAGCACATGAGGTCATGAGCCTGAGACACAGAGAGTCTTCCAGAGACTCGACTCATGGCTACCTGCATAAGCAACAGTTTCAGAGCACCCTGCCCTAGCCGATCCCTTATAAAGGGGGAGTGGCACCTCAAAAAGGCATGCTGGGATTTGCCTACAACATTTGCCTAGCACAGTCCCAGCATCCCGAGCCTTGGCTGTGACAAGAAGCTGGCCTGAGGTGCCCAGACCCCAGTGCTCTGTGGAAAAGTGGGTCTCTTCTGCATCCAGCTCTATGCCCCAGCACAGGAGAAGCTTCATGAAGGACCATAGAGAAGACCTCTCCCTGAGGTCCTGGCCACATCACCCACTCCTCGGGTCCACAAGTGCAAATGACCAGAGCCTACTGGTAGGAGGCAGGGACCTACCCCATCCAGTCTGGTCCCACCCCAGCACAGTCAGCCAGCCTGAGCTGTGCCCATGGCTTCCTGTTGGCCTCTTCCTCCTCTTCCTCCCACCTGGCACCCTGAAGCCCTGCTGGACATACCACATCCAGGCCACATCCCAACACCACTGGGCATTTTTTCTCACTACTTTTTAAAATTTTTTTTTCTCTTTGCACATATTTTTATGTGGTACATGTGTGGGCACAAACATAGTGGGTGCACGTGCCTGCCTGTGATTGCGTGTGTGCACAAGTGTGTGTGTGTGTGTGTGTGTGTGTGCCTGTCTGTGATTGCGTGTGTGCACAAGTGTGTGTGTGTGTGTGTGTGCCTGTCTGTGATTGCGTGTGTGCACAAGTCTGTGTGTGTGGCCAAAAGTTGAAGTCCTCCACCTTAATCACTGAGGCAAGGTCTCTCAGTCAAACCCAGAGCTCACTGGTATGGTTAGTCTCATTAGTCAGCCTGCTCTTGGGATCCCCTGCCACTGCTTACAGGCGGGGCCACCAGACCCACCCAGCATTGACTTGGCTTCTGGGGACCCTAACCCTGGCCTTCATGCTTTTAGGCAAGTGCTTCAACCACAGAATCATCTCCTAAGTCTTGTTGCTGTTCTTAAAATAGGATCTCACCTCCTGGTCCAGGCAGCTCTCCAAACTAAGTATGTAGCACCCAGGCAGTCTTTAACTCACAACAATACTCCTGCTGCAGCCTCCTGAGTGAAAACTACTTAGAAGTGGATGGAAATCCCCAAAAGGGTCTATGTTGGTCCCACCTGGCCACAAACTCCCTAGTTCTCGATGCTCCGGACAGAGGCCTTTCCTCAGTGTCTTAACCTCTCCCACTATGCAGACTACATAGGCCACTGTTTGTACCTGGAGCATACCTACGGTCCCCCTTCTCTAGCTGGTTAACAAAGCCTCCGTACTCCCAGATCTTATCTGAGTGCAGTCCCTAAGGGAGCCTGACTGCAGGCCAGACTATGGTGTCTACCCTGTCCCTCTTGGAGCTAACACAGGGGCACAGGAATCTATGTAATGGTAGATTCTCAGCATGTACTCACTGTTACCCAGAACCAGCTCAGAACAGATGGCATGCTGGGAACTCTCCCAGAGCCCAGCAGGTGCAATGCCCCACCCTCCCTGGCTGTAAGCACACTAAGTTACCTGCAGGATATTGACCAAAATCATAGAGTTGGTCACATGGCCATAAAGCTCCTGTTGCTTGGCAGCAAAGGACAGGTTGATAAGAGTCCAAGCCACAATTCCTGGGCGTCCATTGAAGAACAGCTTGAAGTCAAACCACTTCCCAATGCGGGGGTTGAACTCAATGCCCATCATAAAGTTGTAGAAGAAATTGCCTGTGAATTTGCTTAAAAACATCAACAAAAGACATATTAAAATTTATTCTATATGTATGAGTGTTTTACCTGCATGCTTGTCTGTACAGTTATATGTACAGTATCCTCAGAGGCCAGAAGAGGGCATGGGATGCCCTGGAACTGGAATTACAGACAGTTGTGAGCTGCCATGTGAGGGCTGGGAAATCAAACCCAGGTCTTCTGCAAGAGCAGTCAGTACTCTTAACCACTGAGCCATCTCCCCCTGCCCTCCAAAGACACATTTAGTCAACTAGCACATCTTGCGACATGTGGCTCATCCAGCTTTGTGGACACCAATGTTTAGGAGCCGGCAAGTGAAGGAGGCAGCATGGATGCAGCTGTGACTGCAAAATGCTCCCACAGGGAGAACGTGGCAGCCCTGCCCTCAGCCCCACATCTGCACAGTGCACCATGCTCAGCAGAGACACAGAATACAGGATTAAGAGGCAAGTGTCCCGTGCTCATAGCCTAAGCTCCAGGGCCCACGTTTTTAACTGCTCCACAAGTTCAGTGACCCCTCTCAGTCTTGGTCACCTGGCCCCACAGCAGCCCCCTTATCCCAGACTGGGGCAGAGAATTAGCTGAGATAATTTGGATGAAGGCCCTTCCTAGGTACAGTCTACTGTGCATGCACAGGGATTACTGCTAGCTAGCATAGCAGGTTCTCATGTCTGCTTCCCACAGTCAGGCTAAGCAGAAAGAACTAAAACATCACATCTGCCAAAGCAGCAACAGCTCTGGGAGCCACAAAAGGCAGTATGGCAGTAACCTGCAGGGCAGGGAAACGTAAGTCACACCGCATTCTCATCTGAGGCTGGTTCCCCAAAGTCAATCCAACAGCTACGGGGGAGATGCACTGTTCTCATCTGGATCCCCAGAAAAAATTAAAAACTCCAGAAGACCTCACCGAATATCTGTCGATGGGTGAATGGATGGGGGGTGGGTGAGTAGGTGGAAAGATGGGTGGAAGGGTAGACAGATAGATGGATAAGTAGATGGGTGGGTATATGGGTAGACAGGAGAGTAGGCAGATGGATAAATAGATACATGAGTGAGTGGACGATAGGTGGATAAATGGATGGGTTGGCAGGTAGGTGGATGAGTGCATAGATGGATGGATAGAGAGGTGGGTGTATAGGTGAGCAGGTGGGTAGATGGATAGATAAATGGTTGTGTGGGTAGATGGACGAGTAAATAGAGGATAAGTGGGTGGGGGGTGGACAGACAGATGGACAGATGAGTAAATGGATGGGTAGGTAGATGGAATGGAACTGATGGTTGGCCTCTAACTCAGTTTCCCTGAGAATGCTTTAAGCAAGCAGGGTTCTCCTTGGAAGAAGCTACAGTAAAAATAACAAGGCTAAGGCTGTTTCACAAGAGATAATCCAAAGAAGGAGACAATGATCTACCTCTGCCTCAGTCAGAAGTTGTCCTTCTGGTTTAACTGCTCCCATGGTAGCCTTGGTTACCTCTAAAGCAAGAAAATCCAGACTTTCAAACAGCTGATCCAAGATCTCCCGTCTCAGGGCTTCTCCACTTGTCTGCAGAGGAGCAGACAACCCCGGGTGGAGGTATCCACCATCCATTCTAGGCTTGACCAGCTGTTGAGGAACTTACCAGTCTTCAGCATTGGTGGGGAACAGGTAGCCCTTGATCATTGCAAACATGGACACAGCATAGCCCAGAATATTGGCACACCACAGCAGTGGGATCCAGTTGTCAAAGATGATGGTGGGGGAGAACCAGGTTAGGAGGTAGGCATTCAAAAACCAGAGGAGGTGAGTGATGAGCCAAGCTTGCAGCCCGTTCACTTCATACTTGTTTACAACCCCTGCAGAAGGAGAATCACACAGAGCACCCTAGGTGGACCACACGGCCTTGCTGTGCCTCACACCCTACCTGCTCCTTGGCCTCTGCTTCTGTAGACCCCTGACTGGAGCCCCCAGGTACCATTCCAGAAGGGGCATCTTCTGTTGAATACACAGGCTTTCAAGCCAGTGGCACCCCTCACACGGTGAGAAAGTGGCTGTTCCTACTATAGCCAGAGTGGGGAAACCCCTATGAGATTCTTCTCGTGCTCTTTAGGTCTGTAAGGTGTTGGGAACGTCAATCAAGTGGCAGGTAAGGCAAGGCCAACCCTATGTCCTCCCAGGCTCCACTTGTGCTTGCTGCAGTACCTCTCTGAGACCTCTCGGCTAGAGAAATAGGTAGGATTCCAGCCCATGACCATTAGCATATGAAGCTGGGCTCCTTGAGGGTTTTTAGAGATGACCCATGGGTTAGTGGTAAGGCTGGGTTTGCCTTACCATGGGTTATGAAGTAGTGAAGTAGTGACAGCAGAGTCAGGGACGGCACTCCTGAGTGAGGAAGCTGCCATGTCTATAATGGCATGGATGCCTAGTGGATCACATCCAAACTAAATTAGTTCTTGTCTGGGACATAGGATGGGAGAACTCTGGGAGCCAGGGACACAGGGTGGCTAGGGCAAGACAGCTACCAGCTCAGGGGCAAAGGTTACCTGCTGGAGTTACGGCGCCTTCTTGGACACCTCCCACATAGCCTGGCAGAAATCTGTGGCAGAAGTCAGGAAGCCAGGAGTAAAGAAGCACCTAAAACAGAATTTTAGTTGGAAAGATTGGCAGCCTGCAGGGGATAGCTGTGTGATTTGACCTGGTCTGGTTTTACTGGACAGATATGAACCCAAGACACAAAGCTTAGTGCTCCAGAAGCAAGGCAGGCTTCCCGCCGAATGTGTAAAATCCTACCCCTGGCTATAGCCTAGTAACCTTCCAAGTCGAACACATGGGTCCTCCCAACCCCCCCCCTTTTTTTTTTTTTTTGATTTTTCGAGACAGGGTTTCTCCGTAGCTTTTGGTTCCTGTCCTGGAACTAGCTCTTGTAGACCAGGCTGGCCTCGAACTCACAGAGATCCGCCTGCCTCTGCCTCCCGAGTGCTGGGATTAAAGGCGTGCGCCACCACCGCCCGGCCTCCCAACCCCTTTTTAAGGCCATTTAAAAGCACCAAGATTCTCCCATGAGCCTCCCCCACCCCCCCCCCGCTTTCAACATCACTGTTCAGATCATGTAATGTGTTCACAAGCCCTGGCAACTATTACCACAGTTTGATCTTAGAATTCTACCAAAGAGAACCCTAGGATGGGAGAAAAACAACTTGGCTGTTAAGAACGCTGGTTGCTCCCCCAGAGGACATGGTTCGATTCCCAGCACCAGCACCTACATGGCAGCTCACAACTATCTGTAAGCCACGTCCCAGGGATCCTCTGCCACACTCTCCTGTTTTCCACTGGGTACTACATACATATAGGAAAAACACCCACACACATAAAATAAGTCAATCTTTTTTTTTTTTGCGGGGGGGGGGCAGACATTGAGACAGACTTTCTTCTGTGCAGCCCTGGCTATCCTGGAACTCACTCTATAGACCAGGCTGGCCTTAAACTCAAGAGATACACCTGCCTCTGCCTCCCAAGTGCTGAGATTAAAGGCATTTACCACCACCACCCAGCAAAATAAATCAATCTTTATTAAAAAATGTTTTTAATTTTAAAAAAGGGGACACCCTGTTCCCCTTGTCAACTGCCCCCAGCAGTCCCTGGTAACCACCAATCTCACCAAGCCTGTGAGAACGAAACATCCTGGATGTTTCACATCAATGCAAATACTCGGTCTGGTCTTAGCGTCTGGCGGCTGTTTCCAACACTGGTCCAAAGAGCAGCCTGTACCAAAGCTCATTCCTTTCCATAGTCCCATGACTCGTGCTCTCCTTCTCACCCAGAGGACTGGGGAATGAAAAGGAGGGGGACCCTGGAGCGAGAGACAAGTAGTCTCCATACAAAATTCTGCCTGGGAAAAGCAAGTTGCCTGGTGTTTCATGCGGTTCCTTTACTCTGCCCAACACCCAACCTGTGAAGGCTGCTCCTGCTTAGTGACCTAGTTTAGGTCAAAGAGGCTGCATCACAGACACCATTGACCATGACTCTCAGGCAACCTGTGGAAGCAGCAGCTTAGGTCTCATTCACTGCCTGATAGGCCATGCTGTTGATCTACAGTCAGGGGCTAGAAACCATGACGGTTACAAGGTGACACACAGATGTTTCCTGCTCCATATAATTGCTTCTAGGCAACTGCTGCATCCTGAGAATGGGAGCACCACTGGGTGAGAAGTCTGCTTCTCTGACAAGACCCAAGCAGCAGAACACGTTCCTGATCCACTGCACCTAGCCCCAAGGCAGAGGACTGACCTGGAAGCTGACCCACAAGGTGTACAGTTGGGCAGCTTTAGCTGTCACAGGTGGTGTCTTGGCCCAGATGTCTGCCAGACTAGCACGACCAGTGGCTATGTCCAGTGCGGGGGTGGTCAACGAGCAGCTGTACTGGTCACACGCCATGACGAAGTAGTACACAATGAACGGTGCGAAGAGCAGCAGGAAAATGATGCTGGCCAGGGAGAACCAATCCACTTCCCTGAGAGGACAAAGGGCGGTCACCATCAGGCCTCCTGTTCTCAAGCCCCCCAGGGGACGTACAAACTTCCTTCCATCCTTGGGAGCCCATGATGGAGATTTCTAAGATACCCTCCCGGCCCTTGTACCTCACAGGGCCTCTGAAATGTCCCTTTCCTTGGGCCCTATGGAGGACTCTGAGATTCCCCTTTGTCCCTCAGACCCCATGGCATGATGGAGGAAGGTCATTGGCTAATAAAGGAACTGCCCTGGCCCATTTTATTGGTTAGAGGATAGGTGGGAGGAGTAAACAGAACAGAACGCTGGGAGGAAGAGGAAGTGAGCTCAGAGACTCCACAGCTCTCTCGGGAGCAGACGCCTCAGAGAGAGACGCCATGCTCCTGGCTCCTGGGCAGATGCACGCTATGAAGCTCCGACCCAGGATGGACTAGGCTAGAATCTTCCTGGTAAGACCGGTTCTCACAGATTATTAGAGATGGGTTGATGGGGATAACAGGATTAGCCAGTAAGGGCTAGGGCTAAAGGGCCAAGCAGTGATTAAAAGAATACAGTGTCTGTGTAATTATTTTGGGCATAAGCTAGCCGGGCAGGCGGCCGGGGGTGCTGAGAACGCAGCCCTGCCGCCCCTATTACTACAATGGCAGGGTATCTAAGACACCCTTCCATCCCTTTGAGACTCGCTCTGTCTCTGGAGCCCTACAGGGGTCTCTGACACGCCCTCCAATCTCCTTGGGCCACATGGCGGGGTCTCCAAGGTGTCCTTGTATGTGTGGGACTCCACACCACTCAGAACCTGATGGGCAAGGGTATCCATTCAGCAAACTCTCCAGCCGAGGCGGGTCACTCATGCTGCTCCTGTGTCATCACCAGAAGGTGCCCTATCCGTGGCCACCGACATGAGGGCAGGGGGCTCTTCATGACCCTCAAGGCCAGTAGCTTTCTTGGTCCTTAGCCAGGGAAGGCTCTTTAATACCCAGAGCTCAATGGCAGAGAGAACACCATGACACCAACACAGGGTCCCGAGGTTGGTGGCAGGGCTCCAGATGGCCCTTAGACCATCTGAAATACCTAGAATCCTGGCAGAGCAAGGCAGAGGAAAGTCGCACACCTGACCTCAGGTGACAAGTTGCATTTAAAACATAGCACGCTGAAAAGATCTCAGCAAGTTACCTTCAGGCCTTGAGCACAGGTGCTTATGAGTCCTCTCCCTAAGACAGCTCAGGATATACACCCGGATATCTCAATATACAAGGGGAAAAACTCAGACATGAGACTACTTCCAGCCCAAGCACTCCAAAATGGTTTCAGAGTCTTCGTTCCAATACTTTATTTTGTAGAATAGGAAACAGCTTATCGTTCATTTGTCTTTAAATAAAATAATGTGGGTTTTTTTTGGTTCTAGGTTCATAACATCCCTGAAGTTGAAACCCTTGAGATCACAGTTCACCCTCTAGCTAGTAAAACACATGAGCCCCTTACCAGGCACGGCCCCATTGTCCTTGAGATTCAGCCTTGCCATTCAGACTCTTGGTTTTGGAGGCGTTGTGCTGTGATTTGGAAGCCATCAGGTCCTGAGGAAAGAGGAGGGTCTCAGATTGTTCCAAAAAGCCAGACCCCCACCAGGACTTGAGCACTGATCACTGATCAGAACAGGCGCCCTTTATAGCTTCTCAGTACCTGCTCACCCACACCAGATTCGAGGGGAGGGGGGGGAAGAAGGTGCTTTAGGTTCCTCCCTGAGCCTGCACTCCCTCCAACCAGGCCTTCCCACCTCTGACCCTACTCATTAATTCCTTTCCCAGATGTGGCAGATGTCCTTCTTAGGCAAGTATTCACTCTGCCTGCCACAATCCAGCTCTGCCAGACTCCGCCAGGAATCTTTACCATCTTTGAATATGACTCTCGGCTCTCCTTGTAGTGCCCACTACATCCTCTGCTCTGAGCATGCTCAAAGGCTTCTTGTTCAGCACTAGTATGATAAGCCCCCTTCTCAGTAGACTATGACCATCTAATGGCAAGCAGCTTCCCTCCTAGGTAATTTGTTCCTTTAATTTAATGCTCACAGTGCAGGCATGTTTTATTTGGGTTCATGTATGTGCACTGTCCGCCTCCCTCCAGTAGAAGGCATCTCCCTATTCATCCCTCCGCCACCAGGGCCTAGAACAGTAAGTACCTTGGGGGACACTTTATAGATAAGGTCTCCAGGTATCTTCCCCACTCAGCGCTCCCCCGTCACCTCTAAAGCAAAGTCTAGTTTTAAAAAGCCAGGGATTTAAAATGGTATCTTAAAGCCCACAGAGGGACTTTAAGTGGAGAGCACCCAGTCAGTAAAGTATCTACTGTGCAAGCACAAGGACCTGAGTTCAGTCCCCAGCACGCACATGAACCAAAGTTCAGGATCCCTAGCAGAGGCCCTGCAGTCCCAGTGCTGGGAAGGAAGCAGAGACAGGAGGACCCCTGGGGTTCTCTGGCAGGCAGTCTAGCCAAATCAGCCAGCTGCAAGTTCAGTAGAAGATGCTATCTCCAAAGCTAAGGTGGGAGAGCCAGGAAGAACACCCAACGTTGACCTCCAGTGGCCTCCACACGCACATATGTGCATGCGTATTTGCACACATGCAAATACACATGCATAAAAGTCATCAGAGAAAACAGGATTAGAGCCATAGCAGGGCTGGCAGGATGGTTCAGCAGATTAGAATGGTTGTCACCAAATCTGACAACTTGAGTCTGATCCACAAGACTACATGGCAGAGGAAAACCAGCTCCCAGAAGTTGTCTTCCGGCCTTCACTCACACACTCCACGGCACATGTTCATACACACGCACGCATGCGCGTGTGTGCACACACACACACGATTTTTAAATGTAATAAAAATTTAAAGGGGAGAACAGTATGCTTAGATATCTTGAGAGTCAACTGGATGAGAGGCAGTAAGTGGAAAATTCTAGAACAACTCTTTTTTTTTTTTCTTGACTAGAATTCTGTTCCTTCCTAGGCTTGGTGGCATAAATCTTTAATCCCACACCTTTAATCCCAGCACTCAGGAGGCAGAAGTGGGTAGATCTCTATGAGCCTGAGGCCAAACACAGTGAGTCCTAGGCCAGCCAACACTAAATAGTGAGACCCTGTCTCAAACATTTAAAGAAAGAGTCCATTATGGAATAAAACCAGCATGAGACCGAGAAAATGGATTCAAAAGAGCTGCTAAAGGAGCTGGGGCTGGAGAATGGCTCGGGTTAGGAGCATTGGCAGCACCCACATGACAGCTCACAACCATCTGAGAGGCAGTTCCAATGCCTAAGGCACCTAACTGAGATAGGCAGAGAAAGGATAGGTGGGGCTGGAGGGCAGAGAGAAAAAACAGGAGGAAAACTCTAGGCTCAAGAAGAATGAGAGGAGGAGGAGGAGAGAAGGAGGGAGAAAGAAAGGGAGATGCCCAGGGCCAGTCAGTCGCCAGCCAAACCTGAAGTAGGATATACAGAATGAAAGATAAAAAGCCCCAAGGCAAAATATAGATAAAGAGAAACAAGTTAATGTAAGTTATACGAGCTAGTGGGACAAGCATAAGATAAGGCCGAGCATTCATAACTAGTAAGAAGTCTCCATGTCATGATTTGGGAGCTGGCTGGTGGCCCGAAAGACAGCCTGATAAACACGTGTCCATTCCAGGCTTTTTTGTGGGTGTCAGGGTTTTGAACCCTGTTTCTCACACTAACACAGCAGCAAGCAGTCTTACCCAGTGAGCTGTCTTCCTGGCTCCTAGGACTAACTTTCGTAAACAAACAAACAAAAATGTTCTGACATCTTGATTTGTTTAGTGAGAGAATATCACTGGTCTCAAAATTTACATTCTCCATGGTGAAAGGTACTCTGTCACATAATGGGAGGGAGAGCTGCAGCGGCAGGGACAGCTTCTGCAGCAGGAGTGGAGGACGAAACAGCCAGGCCCCTCAGTGCAGCCCTAACCTGGGAGGCTCTCCAGGTACTCCCTGGTGATACCTGCAGAACGGATGTAGGGAAAGAGAATTGCCCCAGACAGGGGTAGGACTCTGAGGTTCAAGCACTTGCCTGCTCAAAAGCCTAAGGACCAGAGTTTGGATCTCTGTGACCCACACAAATGCCCGGTAAGCATGGCAGTTCAACTGTAATTCTAGCCCCAGAAAGCAGAGACAGGATTCCCACAGCAAGCTGCCAGTGACACTAGCTGTATAAGAGCTCTGGGTTTAACAGAAAGACTGCCTCCTGCCTCAAAGAAAACAGAGAGCCCCTGACAAACTCCAAAAGCATGTGGTGTATGCATGTGGGTACACGCGCACAAAGGACACTCAGAAAAGGAAAAGCGGGCTTGGGAGAGGCCTGCCTTTAAGAAGTCCTTGCTCTCCGGCAATTCTTGCCTCAGAGCCTGTGCTGCCTGGATCTATCAGCCTGCTTTTGACAGCCCAGCCCCGGCAGCTGTCACTTTTTTTCTTGCCCAGCAGCACACACAGTGCACATGGCATGTGAGCCCATTTGCAGTCCCATGCAGCAGCCAACAGTGCCCCTATCTCCTCTATCTCTGGTGCCTACACTAACCACAGCAAACCCAGGGCCACGTGCCCACATGCCTTCCAGGAGGCTCAACAGAGGAGAGTAGCATTCTTCTGGCCCTGACTCACAGATAAGCCCCGAGGATATAAAGCTTGGCACCAACACTACTCTCTGATAATCTAACATGCTAGAAAATTGCAAAAGCCAATGAGGAAAGAACTTCAGACCTTGACACTGAAGACGCTAAACAACGCTGCCCACTGAGTACACCATCTTTCTGGGTTTTGGGAGACAGGGTCTTCCTCTGTAACCTAGACTGGCCTAGAACTCACAGCGATCTTTCTGTCTCAGCCTTCCTGTCACTGTGCTCCACCACACCTAGCAATAACATGCATCTTCTAGGATGAAGAAAAAAGAGCTGACAAGATGGTTCAGTGGGTAAAGGGGCTGGCTGCTGAGGCTGACAGCCTGAGTTCAATCCTGGGACCCCGGTGGTAGAGGGAGAACCAACTCCTAAAGGTTGTTTTCTGACCTCTATACACTATGGCATACCTCCTCCCTCAGAAAAAAAAAAAAAGTAAATAAAGTGGAATTAAAATGTTGTGGCTCAGTTGGTAGAATTGCTATGTGCACACAGTCTGGGGTTCCATCCCCAACAGTACATAAACTGGGCATGGTAGTGCACGCCTATAATCCCAGCACTTGGGAGACAGAGACAGGAGGATTAGGAGTTCAAGACCAGCTTGGTCTACATGAGACTCTGAAAAAATATAAAAGTAAGCATTTTGAATTTATTTGGAGGGCATGTCTCTGGTCACACCTCTGTTGCAGGCACCAAGTTCTGTGGAAAAGTACAGCCTGTGCAGGGCAGCTGGATAGAGGGGACCAAGGGTTCTGAGCCTCGCAGAACACCCGACATGTGACTGGTGCAGATTTCTTCATTTGGAGGCTGCTTTGTAAAGACTGTATTTTTATCTTATGTGTGTGGGGTTTTGCATATATGTCTGTGCACCGTGTGCATGCGGTTCTCACGGAGGGCAGAAGAGAATGTCAAGTCCCCTGGATCTGCAGGAGTTACAGTGAGCCACCACACGGATGGTGAGCATCAACCCCAGGTCCTCTGTGAGAGCAGCTAGTAATCTTTTCCACCTCTCCAGCCCATTCTTCAGGTTTTTTTTTTTTTTTTTTGATTTTTCGAGACAGGGTTTCTCTGCAGTTTTTTGTTTTTTGTTTTTTGTTTTTTTTTTTTTTTGGTTCCTGTCCTGGAACTAGCTCTTGTAGACCAGGCTGGCCTCGAACTCACAGAGATCCACCTGCCTCTGCCTCCCAAGTGCTGGGATTAAAGGCGTGCGCCACCACCGCCCGGCCCATTCTTCAGTTTTTAAAGCAGTGCCTCACTGCCACTGCCCATGCTCACAGGCACTGTGAGCGACATAATCACCTTTGACTTCTGGGCCAGAGGTTTCACAACAAGAATGAAGTTGTTTTTCTTAGAAGAGCTCTTGACATGCCCAGGCTCAGAAGTCCCCCAAGGTCTGCTCAATCCTCAGCCGCGTACAGAGACACACCTTCAACAGAGGCCACCAAGTCACCAGGGAGTGGAAATGTCAAGTTAAAGGCAAGTAAGGATCCACACTGCAGGTATCAAGGCCACTGCTGATATCAAGCAGAGGACAGGCTCAGGGCTTGTCACTCAACATGCAACAGAAAGGGAGCACCCGGGTATGCGTGGGTGGAGATTTTCATAGAGGCTCAAAAGTGCTGAACCCAGCATAGGCAGGCCACAGATGTTAACAGATTCCCTAGAATGCTGACAACCACACCTGCACATGTACAACCATCTTGGCACTCCCAGGAGTCATCCATCCCTTACCCTGAAGCTGGCACATTCCCAGGGAACATACTAGAAACCACTGAGATGCCAAAACACAGAGTACCTCAGAAAACAACCTGGACTGGGAACCAATCCCTACAGGAATGCAAGAGAGTCGGGGACAGATTAAATGTCCCATGGCACGTAAGTCTATGGCCCCGAGGATTTGTGTTGATCATCATTAAAGACAGATGAACACAGTTCCCTGGTGTTCCACATGAAACCAATGGACCAGGCGCGGTGATGCTCGTCTTTAATCCCAGCACTTAGGAGGCAGAAGCAGACAGATCTCTTTGAGGCCAGCCTGGTCTACACAGTGAATTCCAGGTCAGCAGAGCAACAATAGCAAAACAAAACAACAACAAAACAAAACAAACAACAATAAAAAAAACAAAAAGAAAAAAGGAAATTATATGACCCAGGTCAAGAAAGCCAAAGATAGGAGAGAGTCAAGGGACACACTAAGCCACCATCCATACACAGCAACTGGAAAAACATCCATGAAAGTAGATCTGAAGGGAGGGGCCTCTCAGGGGGCCAGCATCTGAGATGGAAACAACCTGTAGAGAAAACTACTGCTCCCAGCATGGCTGGTTCTAAAAGCAGAATGCCTGTGACCTTAAGAGGTGACACCCAGGACAGAGGAAGGTGGCAGATCTGTCCTTCTGGATGGTCATGTAGTTTTGAATTTTCTGTGTAGCTGAGAATCACCTTGAATTTCTGACTGTAGCCTTCACTTCCTAAGGACTACGGTTATAGGTGTATGCCACTACAGCTTTTAATTATTATTATTTATTTATCCTGTGGAAGGGAGCATGCGTGGAGGTCAGCAGACACCTACCAAATCAGCAGAAAGCACAAACCCGTGATGCTGAGCCATACAGACGAACCTTCCAGTTACGGGGCCATGGCAAACCAAAACAAACCTTTTGGTATCTCTCATGGTTTCTGCAGGTCAGACATTATGGGAGGATAGGCTGCAGGGAAGTGTCGTGGAGTAGTCAGCTGTACATTAGAGCCTTAGGTGCTCAGACTCCCCTCTCATGGGCCCATAAGGACTGCCGTGGCCTACCTCACGGGTGGCCTTGAGGCAGTGAGCACACTCCCAAGGGCAGTGCTGGGGGAAGGGGACCTGGCCTTGGGGGGTATGAGACATCACCAGACCTTAGTGGCCACAGCTCAGTCACTCCACATCCTGAAGGTGCAGCAGGAAGGTAGGGCTAGAGGAGCTGCTGCTGGGGCTGTCACCGGCGACACACCCCATCACCAGCAGCTACCAAGAACCGGGTGCCCCGCCTACCTGAAGAAGGAGCAATGTCACACCCGCCTACTTCACAGACTAGAGAGAGACTGGGGAAGGGAAAGGCAGGGCAATACGCTGACTGCCAACACGGCCTAGGAGGCAAGGCTGGGTCTGAAGCTCCACTTCTGGCACATGGGACACAGTGGAGTAATGATGACATGGCTAACTTTGCATATCAGATTCCAGGGACCTTCCATGTCACTGGAATTTTCCAGAAGCAATAGGGTGTCCTATCTGGAGATTCGTGAGCCCGGGTATGGTGCTGGATTTTCAGACGAAAAGGCAGCGAATCCTGGAAATGGGTGAGTGGTGAGATGTGTGTCCACCTGCATGTACTGAGAGGAAATTACCCTGGGAAATACGCGGGGCGGTGCCAGCAGGCAGATGCAAGGACTTCCTGCAGGGCCTTGTATGGACACGAAAACTTGTGTCACATCCACTGACAATCACCAGAGAAATCAGATGCTCTGGCACCCAGTGCCACAAAGAGCCGGCTCTGCAGGTGCAGTGGAGGCCAGCCCCTCCCTATCATGGAAGGACTGAGAAGACGAGGGGTTCCACTTGGATCCTCCAGGAGCATCGCAAATGGGGACAAATTGAGCTTTCCTCTCTTTTTCCAACAGACGAGCTTCTGTAGTTAAATGGCATCTGTGAGTCCACTGTGCCCCACCGCTTTCCCCAGGTCAAGTGAGGCTAGCTTCTGGAGGAACCCATGGCTGCAGAACTCTGACCTGACTTGTCTTGGAAGCTTGGGGTCCTGTGGAGGAACAGCAGTTCCTGAAGCCCCCAGAAATAAGCATAAGCCCAAGGAGGGAGGGAATGACCTGCCCCCCATCTCTGATTCTTTGGAATTTCGGGTTCTAAACAAAGCTACAGGCTCTCTGCTTTACAGAAGTTCCAAAATAAACGCCAGACGTGAAACAAAGTGTTTTCTCCTCCCAAGTCCATCCCAGGCCTCATTCCCTCCCAGATTGTTCCACGGATTATCCTTTACACACCCCTACTGGCCACCTTTCTGTCCAAAAGCTGTTTTTTTTTACCAAATTTTCTGGCAGCACGGCTTTACTGTACCCTGCCCGCTGCACCTCTTCCTGGCATGTCCTTCGGCTACTTTCAGGAAGATTCTATCAGAAGCAGCTCAAAAAACTGAAGACGTCCTATTGTTTGAATTCATCCTCTAAAAACCATCTTGATCTTTAGGGCGACTGGGAACTCTCCACAACCTGGGGAGGCCAGATATGCCTAGAGCTTCCCAGAACCCTCATGCCAGCAGGCAATCCATCTGTCTCCTGGGAGAATAACTGGAATCATTCAGATTCTACTGAAGAGATTCACTAAGCTGTATGTACCCTGGGGTAGGAGCGTGGGCCAAGGGGTGTGTCTACATTTGCCTCTATTACACCTGAGCATTGGCAGGTCCCCCAGGGAGCTGGGTCCTCATCCCACAGGACATGGCTGCCTCTCCTATACACAGGTCCCAGCTAAGCAAAGTAAAGCAAGGTCCACCGCCATACTTGTTCGCAGGTTCACCTACCTACTATCTGAGCAAGCACCTTCCCCCGCCGCCCCCCCCCCCGCCCCCCGCCACCGGGCCCACAGTCCTCTTCCCCAAATACACATCTCTCCAAACTCGAGCACGTAGCCCCCTCTCCTGTGCACATGCCCCCAATCTGCACACTGGTCTCCTAACCTGCGCACACGCCCCCAAATCTGCAATCTGTTCCCCAATCTCCCCAAAACCTGTGCAAACGCGCATGCCCCAATCGACAAACACATTCAGCTCACAAGCACATCCTCCCATCTCACACGCCGCTTCCTTTGCTGAATACTTGCCCCCCAACACACACACAATCTGTACATACGGCCCCTTCTCCTGCGCTCTCGACGCCCCCCATTTCCCTGTCTGTGTGCAAGGTCCCAATCGCGGACTCTGTCCTGGTCAGTGCACGCAGAACCTCACCTGCTTGCGTAGTCCAGGCGGTTGACCCGCGCTCTCCAACCGTGCCCCAAGTGTCTGCCTGAAGCTCTGCCCCCAAGGTGACGTAGTGTCACGGAAGACCAATTGAGAGTGAATTTCGCGAGCCGCGCCCGGCGATTGGTGAAGACAGTGAGCTGACTCCGGAGCCCACCAGGCCCGCCAGTCGGCAGCGGCGGGCTTGAGATTGACAGCAGGGCCAGCCACGCCCTACCCACGCCCTACCCCCCGCCCCCGCACACACCCCACTCCTCCCCAGGGTACGCTTGTGGCCAAAAGGATGCAAATATGGACTCCACCGTGCAGGCTCGGAGCCCGCCCGTCCCAATACCTCAGTTTACCCTGCTGCAAAGCTCCTACCTAAAGGAACATCTGGTGCACAGTGGTGGGACCAGGAGACGTGGAGGGGTGCAAAAGGCTGAGACCCTAGCCTGACAGCCCAACAGGCTCCCTGGCAGGCAGAACTCAGTCACACCTTGGTCCCCAGGAAGGTTTTTGGGGAAAGCCCAACCTGCATTCAAGGCCCCTGAGCCTTAAAATAGCAACTTTGAACAGCTGCCTAGGTTTCATTCTTTCGTTTCATCTCTTTCCTCCCCGCCACCTGACATTAGTTAGTTGTAGTACCCTCACTCCGCTACCCCCCTCCCTCGGCCCCGCCCTCATCCCCACCCCCAGCCAGGGACAGTTTCCTCTGCTGCCACAACAAAACTAACGGAAAACATAAATGACTTCAGAACTGTTAGCCACTGTTGGTGCCCCCAGCTGCCCAACAATGTCCTATATTGCTCTTTTCTCAAACCCCGGGATCCAGTCAGGGTACACATTTTATAGAATAATAGGTTATGCAGAATATGGGGTGGGAGCTGGAGAGATGGCTCAGCAATTAAGAGTACTCGCTGATTTTCCAGAGGACTAGGGTTACAATCCCCAGCACCCACATGGTAGCTCATCCAGCAGTAACTTCGGTTCCAGGATACCTGGCAGCCTTTGCATACATACATACACACATACATGGTCACCCCTGGAATTGGAGTTGTTCCAGCCAAACTGTGGGTGCTGGGAATCGAACCTGAATTCTCTGCAAGCACAGCCAGTGCTCTCAATCTCTGAACCATCTCTCCCACACACACACACACCCTTTTTCTTGATTAATGAGTAAATAAGTGGATTGATACTTTGAAACTGGTAAATACAACGTTCCCAAGCATCCTTTGACCCTGATGACATAGCATTCATTGAGGACACTGGGGGGCATCGGTTACTTTTTGGTACAAAAAGTTGACTTGATTTCATCATCCCTTCAACCTTATTATTAAACTATTATTTATTATTTGATAGTTTTCTATCAGGAATTCAACTCTTTAACTTTTGAAAATTTTTAAGAATTAAATGGTGACACATGCCTTTAATTCCAGCACTAGGGAGGCACAGGCAGGCTGATCTCTGAGTCTGAAACCAGCCTGGTCTACAGAACAAGTAACAAGACAGCCAGAGCTACACAGAGAAACCCTATGTCAAAAAGACAGAAAAATAAATTTCTTATTTATTACTTTAGTGCAGTGGTCCTCTACCTTCCTAAAGCTATGATCCTTTAATACAGTTCCTCTGTTGTGGTGACTCCAACCATAAAATTATTTCATTGCTACTTTGTTACTGTAATTTTGCTATTGTTATGAATCATAATGTAAATATATGATATGCAGGAGATCTGGTTGAGAACCACTATGTGTGTGCTCATTTGGGGGGCACATACTGACCCCTGTGAGGAGGTCAGAGGACAATTCTGCAGAGCCAGTTCTCTCTTTCTACCTTTATGTGAGTTTCAGGGATTGAACCCAGGTAGCCAGGCTTGCGCAGCAAACACTTTCCCTGCTGCTCCATCTTGCCAACCGAAGCCATTAAGTTACTTTTATCGGGGTGGATCTGTGGGTTTTGTTTTGTTTTTTTTACTTATTGACACTATGTTGTACGATCTCATATTTGACTAGTGCAACCCTTTCAAATTGGATCGTGTGTGTGTGTGTGTTTGAATGTGTGTGTGTGCACCTGTGGAAACGAGAGGCCTATATCAAGGGTATTTCCCTACCTCTCTTCATCTTGTCCTTTGAGATAGGGTCTCTCATTGAAATTGGGTCTCACTGATTGACTAGACTAACTAACTGGCCAGTGTGGCTGTTCTTGAATGACATGTCTTAGCCTTCCTTGAGAGCAGTACCAAACCAGGTCCTAATTGTCTGCCACACAATGTGCCAATCACTGAAAGGAGTTTTGCAAGGCAGCTGGGGGTAGAGCTGGGGAACCGAATCTTCAGTTTACTCCTGCAATGTAGGATTAATGGAGTAGGGAACAGGGCACTGAATGGCATTCGGAAAGGATGGCGGTGAAATGGAGTGTAGTCTGTGTGTGCATTGTAAAAACATGGTTTTAATGAGAGCGTATGTTCAGAATGGTTGTAGCTTGATCTAAGATTGGAGTTTTCAGCCTTCGAATAGCAAAAGGTCACCCATCAGTCGTCCAGGTGGGCCCACGTCAAGAGGTGGTGTGTGTGTGTGTGTGTGTGTGTGTGTGTGTGTATACCTATGCATATAGGCCAGAAGGCAACTTGGGTGTCATTTCCCAGCACCTGTGGGTTTTTGTTTTGTTTTGTGGCATGCTCTTACCAGTATGGACCTTGTGCCAAGTCGACTAGGCTGGCAGGCTGGAAGACACCAGAGATCTGTGGTCTCTGTCACCCCACAGCTAGGATTATGAGCAGTTGCCACCATGACAGCTTTGTTTTGAAACTGGTGTTCTAAGAATCGAACTCCTACTTGCAAGGCAAGCGCTTGACCAGCTGAGCCACCTCCCCAGTTCAAGACGTAAATGGTTTTGATAAAACAACAACAAACCGACTTGAAGTCCTTGGAAAGTAATGTAGCAGGCACTGGCCTCATACTGCACATCTCAGAGAGGCCTTCTGTGGCAACAAGCAGATACGGTGCAGCTATGTGACCTCCAGAATCAGTCACGTTTAAAGTCCGATTCAAGAAAGCCACACAGAAGGATCTTAGGGGAGGGGTGTCTCAGGAGTTAGAGAAGTGGTAAGAACAAAGGTTCTCAGAACACTGCCCCAATACAGACGTTACAGCTGAGGGGAGAGGCTTCCCCAAAGGAGGCTGTCTTAGTGAGGGTTTTTATTGCTGTGAAGAGACACCATGACCACAGCAACTCTTATAAACAAAACATTTACTTGTTGGGGGAGGGTTTCCTTATAGTTTCAGAGGTTCAGTCCATTATCATCATGGTGGGGAACATGGTGGCGTGCAGGCAGACTTGGTGCTGGGGGAATAGCTGGGAGTCCTACATCTTGCAGGCAACAGGAAGTCAACTGATTGTCACACTTAGTGAAGCTTAAGAAAAGAGACCTCAAAGCAAGCCCCCACAGTGACAAGTGACACACTTCCTTCAACAAGGCCACACCTCCTCCAACAAGGCCCACCTCCTAATAGTGCCACCCCTTTGGTGGCCCATTTTCTTTCAAACCACCACAGAGGTGTTGCTTCTGACGGGGAATGTTTCCTCAGTGGAAGTGTTACAGCTCTGCTCTGAGGGGAAAAGTTTCCCTAATGCAGATGTTACGACCCTGACGGGAAAGGTATCCTGGCTGTCAGGAGCCACAGAATACCACAAACAATAACCTCACACAAGAGATTTATTGGAAGAAACACATGAGGGTTGTTGTCTCTCCTTGAGTGAGAAGCAGCAGGGAATGGAGCAGGAGATTTCTGGGGGAGGGGGTGATTGGTGATATGTCAAGCCAAGCCAAGAACTGATGGGATTTTATGCTTAGAGATTGGTGGGGTTTGGTAGCTTTTCAAAGTGGACTTAGACCTTTTACCCTACAAGTTCAGTTTACTTCAGTCCAGGCCAGTAGAGTTTGTTGTCTGATGATAGAGACAGACCTTCCCTGAAAATGGTCCCCAGGCTCCTGAGAGTTGCTTCTAACTGTCAAAGACTGATGTGTGCAGTCACAGGGCAGGGTAAAAAGTCCAACCTTACTTCTGGATTTTGAAAAACCTACCACCAATCCCTGGGCTTGTCCCAAACCCAGGACTTTAAATCACACCAAGTATCACCCTGGAAATCTCCAATCTGGAAAACTCTGCCCCCAAGAAACACTATATAAAGCCTGCCTCCCCATTCAGTTCTCTGTTTCTTATCTGAGCAGAGGCAGCCACCCTCTTACATCTTTCCCAAGAAATCTCTTATGTGAGGTTTGTTGCACGGTGTGACTTACTGGTATTCCTTGGCTCCCGACTGCCAGGATACTTTTGCCTTCAGAGCTGCAACACTTGTCCTGGGGATCCCTTTCCCCTCAGAGCTGTAACAATTCTTTTTTTTTTTTTTTTTTTTGGTTTTTCGAGACAGGGTTTCTCTGTAGCTTTGGTGCCCATCCCGGAACTAGCTCTTGTAGACCAGGCTGGCCTCAAACTCACAGAGATCCGCCTGCCTCTGCCTTCCGAGTGCTGGGATTAAAGGCATGTGCCACCACCGCCCGGGAGAGCTGTAACTCTTAACACACAGGTGCACCCCATCCAGCAAGGCTCTGTTCTAAGAACTTTCTTGGAATGGCTGAAGGGTTTGAATTGGCTTTTGTCTGAGGGAAAAGGGCTGAGGAGGAGGGAACTGATCTGGAGAAGCATCTACCTTGCTTGCGTGCAAGAGGGTCAGGGATGAGAAAGGGCTCCCTCCGGGTGACTCGCGTAAATACGGGAGTGTTTACCCAACTGTGCTGCCTTGTTTTTGTTCACATGACACAAACTAAAAACCCTTGGGAAGAGGGAACTTCACTTGAGGAACTGTCTCCATTAGATTGGCCTGTGCAGAAGATTGAGGCAGGTTTTGTTCGTTTGTTTTTTTCCGAGACAGGGTTTCTCTATGTAACAGTCCTAGCTGTCCTGGAACTTGGTTAGTAGACTAGACTGGCCGTGAACTCACTGAGATATGCCTGCCTCTGCCTCCCTAGTTCTGGGATTAAAGGCAAGAGCCACCACATGAAAACATGAGAC